TTCTTTGTCAAAAAGAGTCACAATTCGATCAACATGTTTTGTATTTGTTCTTTCACCATCAATTGCAACATTGAAAAACGTATCATGTCAGAGTCTATAAAAACAATTCAAGATTTTTGTAATTTCGTATGAATATGAATATGAATAATTTGAAGGTTTGTGACAAAAATGATGCTTATGTACTAACCGAGTATGTGATCATTCAATCCCGTCAATTTTGCATTCTTGCTATGTATTTGATGGCGCTTTATCACAATTGTCGAATGACAAAATGAAAGATCTGCTCATGTGTGATTAATGTATAGATTGAATTGAAGTATATATTTAATTTCAACATAATAGTAGCGATAGTCCTTAATCTTAAAATTGTTCAAAACGTTTGTCACTATGGTAGATATCTTCTTGAATCTTGAAAATTTTCATAGTATTTGCCTGACTGATTGCCTCCTCATCTTACTCATCATCTTTTGGATTGAAGAACATTTCATATATTATATTTTCCACTAGAGAAGTTTTGATTGTGAATATAAGCGCTATAAATTCTTGTCAAAACAATATTCAACACTCCTAGTACATTCAAGAAATATTTCTTCTTCTTTGTTTTTGATAAAGCTTCATATTTGATAAATGCATTTGTATATTATCCTTGATGATGAATTTGATACAATTCAGAAAGAAAAGTCTATTACACCATGACGTTTTGTGTATGATGTCTCTTCATTCTTCCTAGCGTCGTTCTTTGCCATGATGAACGCAAAGTAGACATTGTATTGATGTAACAATCTTTGTTGTATCAATTTAAATGATTTGCAATACGAATTTTAATTTGTGTCTAAATTGAAAAGGAGTAGGCATTTTGGTAACTTTTGTAGCAACAATAGCCAATTTAGAGCTCAATAAGATGTACATCATGATAGCTAAAATCACAAAATTTTTGTGTGGATGAAAAAAATGCCACAAGTAGCACCATAGCAACTCGTGAAACATTGTTGGTAAAGACAAGATGCTTCCGATGTTTGTGACAAGTCGAGACAAAGATTACATGTCAATTTTCTGGCAAGTTCCATGGAGACGAAAAGTACATGGTTGATGGAGACAAAGAGAACGTGTAGATATTTGAGACAAGTTCAATAAAAACAAAAACAATGTGGCATATTACCACTAAAGGAAAAAAAACTGTTTTGGACTAAAAACGTAAAAAAAATAGTTTAAGTTATAATCATAACGGCGTACTTAATTTATAGACGCCGCAGATTTCAATTTTGATTGATTCTCGGATCTATAAATGAATACCAAAATTTATAAGTACTAGCTTTATTTGATCACAAAGGATATGTAAGCTCATGGTTCTTTGAGAAAAATTGATAGTTGATCAACTTTTTTTACAATTTCTCATTATTGTACGATATAGTTTAAAACGTGAGATCAAAAAATCAACATTTACAAATTTTTGTGAAACACGATGGTAATTAGCAATGCTCATATATGTATCAATGTCGCATTATATCACAAAGGATTTTAACATTGTGTGAACAAGTCAAAGCTAGTTAGTGAGCCGTCAATTAACAAAGAAATCTACAAGCTTATCAAACCAATTTTTTAACTTGTCTTGAGTAAAATTTTACCATATTAGGTCGAGTATTTGCCGAGTTCATCAAGATGTACACAACTGTGAAGGACACAAATGTTATGAGAAAGTGTAGGAGTTTCAACTACACATTATCAAAATTGTACTAAAGAGAGTTTTTATATATACTCATAATTTTATAGTTATATTTTTTAACCCTCAACATGAATCTATTGTCATTCGAGAAAAAAAAACTACAATGAGATTTGGAAAAATATTGCAAATCTTATCAAAGTATAGAGTTTCACCAAGATGGATTCAATCTCATTAGTTGCTGGCAGATTTAAAAGACTACATCAATCAAAGTGTAGTAGTCACAAGCAATTCAAACAAAAGCTACGAGACAATCTGTTTTTAGTGCAAAAGCTTTGAATGTGTTTGCAATGAAAATCTTTGTCGTCGTCAAACATAATGTCGCATTGGAATGATTGTTCTTGCAACTATCACTGTCAAAAACAACCAACCAAACTACGTTAGAACACATGAAGATGCTTTCCATTGTCCGATTTAACCTTAATCTACATATCAAATCATTTTTTAAATAATTTCCATGGTTGTCAATGGATCAACAGACCAATAGATGAATTTATTTTGGAAAATCTAAATTACTTATTTACTTGGAAAATCATAGTAAAATTTTGATATGTATTTTGACATCCTTACATACAAACTAAAGTCTTATCCAACTCTCATCATGGTTGCTTTGGAAACCGAAACTAAAGTAAGAAACGAATAAAATTGGAGTGTATATAATTTGTTATCTTGAAATTTTCTATGTCGTAATAAGGTCATCCCCTGCCTTGAAAGGCTCGTTGAGCATGACTCAAAATTTTGTTTTGCCTCCAATACTACTCCAAACGAGCAATTTAGGGCATATTGACATATTGTGGAGACGGAAAGTCTAGCCCAAGTTTCACAACAAGAATATTGAAGATTGATGAGTGTCCGGCGCCATCTTTTCTTTCTCTTTCTTTTTTCTTCTCGTTTTTTATTTATTAGAATCAAGGACCCTAAATTATAGTACGGAGGCGTCATCACGTTCTAAGATACTTTCCTATTCTCCACGTGTTGTCTTCTTCAAGACATCTCACAGATAATCCAATACGTCAAGATTTCTGCGAGTATATATGAGAGCTGTTCCTGAAGGCTAAGCAAATCACTGATAAAGTCAGCTACAAGAGGACAGGACAGGACGAGCATAATCTGAAAGGTGGGAAGCCAGGCTGCTTACTTTGCAGAAGTGAGACAGAACGTTCCTGTCTCCGTTTCACATGGTTCTTCCATAAAATGTAAAATAGCAAGTCACATATGGTGCCTATTTAGATATGATGATGAATATCTGCTACAGCTAAGAATAACAATCTCATAGAAAAGTCTCCTGTTCCAACTTCATACTAATAAACAGAAAAAATTTAGATCGATTCATAGCTTTAATCAAATGCGATTGTTGTTTCAAAACACTAACCTTCAGCCTGTGTTAAGTCCCATAACTACTCTGTTTCTTTGTCTTCTCCATCCCAACACTCATCACCATTCACCGTTTCCCTCCTGGTTAAATACTATCCGAATCCACGGAATTCGTCTTCGTGTACTCTTGTCCCTACGTAGCCCCTCAAAGATCTCCTCTCTCCTCACTCTCATAATCGTCTTTGTAGTTACTTTTGGATGCAACGCGAGAATTGTGGTACGATTGTGACAAAGTTTTAGGTCGAAAAGGTCTATGGTTGGATTCAGGACGATAAATCGTCGCCACTTTCGACAGAGATTTATGAGAAACATTACAGAAAACTGCGAAATACACAAACGAGAACCCTCAGTTCAGTTACACGAGCCTAATGGAGCTGGGACTTCACCTGCATACACATCACCAAGCCTTTACGTCTATGAACTTAAAAGCTTTCCACGACTTGCAATATGTGAGCTTCTGAAAACTGTCTCACCTTATAAGTTCGCCCGTTCCCAAGTTTCAGTAAACCTCCAGATTCTTTTCCTCAGACTTGACTGTAGATAAAGCTAGGCTTCTGCGTAGCACCGAACACAAAGTCGTTTGGGTTGCGACAGATTCGAATGTAGTTAAATAGGAAATTGTAGTCCTCGATACGTAATACTGATCGTAGTTTATTCAGTTGTTCTCCTTGCACGTAAATTGTGCTATTCGATTACACTGAGGGATATGTGGTTATGAGCTAGAATTTCCTTCTCCTCATATGCAATCAAACGATACTAGCCTAATCTTAAGCCTGATTCCCGTTCCTGCTAGTAGAGTTATACCCCTCTTTGACCATTGAAAAGAGTTAAATCTAGGTTAAAAAACATATACCAGCGGAGACCATGCCGAAACTGAGTACATCAATCATGAAGAGTAGGTCATCCCACGGTGGACATTTACCTGTTTTTATCTGGCAAACCCCTCTGCCATGTTTCCTCGTGCATTATACCCACAGAAGGATGATAACATGTAATGAACAAACATGCATCAAGTTCGCTGAATTTGACCCCATCCCATCAGGAACAAAGTTTCCTTCAGATAAAAGCTAGCGACCTGCTACAAGACAACTCACAAGTGAGCTTAGTGTGACGTTGCTATCAACCTGTAAGAACATTGGGCAATATGACCACTGTCACATCCAACCATCAAATAGACTAGTGAATTATCAAACCTCTAAGTTGACCAAAAGCCCGTGGCTATCAATGAGATATCTAGTCTATACCTTCCTCATATGATATCCAGTATAAGCTATCGACGCTAATCGCGAACGGTGAATCTCTGATCTATCTCACCATAACAAGAACACGAAAATTGAGAATTTTTTCCTACTTTCTCCATGGTCTTGCCGACATCACTCTGCTTACCAGCTCAACGGCTGCGCACAGTTCTTGCATGCAGAGCAGGCGGGATAATACACGCTTGTTTCGAGCTGGCATATCATCCCATCCCATTATGGCCTTTTAAGGCCGCCACGAAACTTACCGAAGTGTAGAACATTCAACAGACCCAGTCAATCCCATGAAGATGTCCCTTGACGCCACTACCTGGAAAGAATGCCAATGTCGTATGATATAATTCTTTGTGCTCCGAAAACAGCCCGGCAATGTTAGACCACACTTCATGAAAACTAAAAGATAGCGAACAAAAAGTACGCATTTCCTACTAAAAAAAGACTTCGAGTAGCGGGACAAGCTATCGTCCCATGAGTCTTCATCCCAAACTGTTAAAATGGTGGTAAGGTCAAGTCTTCAACTGACGCTTTAATAAACAGTAGGCGACAAGCCTCAAACGTCAAAGCATTGTCGACATTAACCACGTTAAATCTTAGGACCTCAGCAACACATCAAGCCGACTAAACAGTGAGGAAAGCTCCTCAGATTTGTAGACACAGGACATCAGAATGCATTATATGAAGCGAAAAATCAGAACAGGAAACTTCAGCACCCTTTGGCGCAAAAATTAATATACATCTCCTTCTAAGATAGACAAGATCTGTTCAACTTCAGGAACTGGATAGTGTCTACTTCTTGTGCTTTTATCCAGTAAGCGCCATTCTCACAGCATTTGTGATGAACTGGGTGACCCTTGGCACCCTCATAGGAGGTTGGTTTGGATATGAGGTTACATGAAGCAACAACTTGGAAAAGATAATTCAAGACAAATCCACCAATCTCTGGGCAAGCGTTCTCAGTGAAGTTTGCTTAGTATCAAAATCTGAAACAGCAGACTCTGTAGAAGCCATGGCATCCAAGACTACTCCAGCTCTCCGCCCTAAAATCTCTACAACATCTTGTCTTGCTCCTTCCGCAGTCAATACACTTTTTCTTCCTTCCACATTCTGAAAACCGTTCGCAGGTTTGCTCTGTTTCGGAAGGACTTGACCTATAAGCAGCAGTAAAAATTCTGCACATTTCAACCTACATTCACAAATCACGGGAACAGAGGTGAGCAAAACCTTTAGTTAGAAAATATCCGGTCAAACGGAAAGTGTTTCGACGGGACTCATGACCCAGTTTGAGACCATGCAGAATTCGGTTTCCATTCCTAGTGTTTGATCCATCGATATTCGTGTACTGATAAAATTATGCATGTCTCTAAGCTGAACTGCTGCTGCTGTTCATGTGGTTGATCAAAAATTTAAACACGTGAAAACCTACCTTATGGTGTCATCCATGTCTGTTCTTTTCACTAGCTCGGCAATCTTCCTTACGCCATGGATTCGCTCCAGTTCCTGAGAGATTCAGGGGAAACTCGTCAGAACGCGAGAGCACTTTTGAAAAAAAAATTGTCAAATCTTGCAACTGCCAGTAAGGCAACATGTCACATAAGATGAAAGAAACCTACAAGGTCTCCGACTGATCTAACAACATCATCAGTGTCAAGTTTGCATTCGTCCAAGACCCACCTTTTGATTGGCAGGTGAGTCCAGAAGTACTGCTAACAATGCGTCCAAGCAAGCACTCTGTTCAGGCTGTTCACATTTCAACAGTAAACTCAAGAGCTCCTGATATCCAGGAAGAGTTCGATCAGTGACAGATCCATCCGAAGTAAGGAACACGTGACCCCAGACTTCTTAAAATTACTACATACAACCAAACTTTCACGAATGACAGGATTTTACTTGGACCATGTCACACTCACTTGGAAGACCTCGATTTGAACAACAAACCTTGCAGGCAGCGTGGCGAGAAGCAAGTAGTCGGCTGGATGTGTCAAGAAGGCAGCACCCTTCTAAAATCCGAAGGGCCAGATTTATTTCATTGCTTGATGGTGCACTGATGATTTGTTGCTCATTTGAATCACGCTTAGGGGGTGCCAATGTATGCTCAAATAAAACAGGTACCACTGCTCCAATGAGCCCACGAAGTGAACTTCATCAGTGCATGACAGAAAGCGGAATAAAAACATGAGAAACGGTACTAAAAGCTTACAGCTGTTCGCAATTGAACAGTGAACACAATGACTCTTCCTGTCCATCTTGGAATACAGAAAAATCATCCCATTTGAGTAGACCCTTCTATTACTCATCAAAACGAAGGGTGTCAAATTTCATGTTAGAACCTACTTGCTCAAATATATTTTTTAACCGCATACAATTTAAAGCTATAGGGGACCAAAGTATGTAGTTTAATTAACCATTAATTTATCAGCAATATTCTTAATTTGTGAGCACTACTCCACCACAGCACAATGTTTGATCTCTTAAGAAATCTATGATCATGGAATGTTTCTGACCAACAGTGATCACATTCAGTATATTTCTTCACCTCGTACCGACAATCTCATGGTCATCAAGTAAAGCGCTGTGATGAGAAAAACTTGAAGCCTTACAATCAAATTTTGCATTCTAACATGAGAGCTAAGTAACAGAATAGGTTAAGCACGTCAATGAAGAACCAACCTTGCAGCTCGCGATAGCTCTGACTTTCGAGAAAAAGCTCTATAATCTTCTCCGACTTCACTGCCGACGCCAGAAACTTAGTCAGCGACCGATGGCCCTTTACTCTCAAAAACGAGAATTCTGCTTTCGCGTCCCGAAGACCCGTCCTCAAAGACAAAGAAACTTCTCTGTACAATCTTTGATTCGTGAGGGAGTGCACGAAATCTACAATCGGTGACTGCGCGCTGCCTTGAGGGGAACTTGATGAAGAGGAAGAGGTTCGAAGTGGGTCGTCCGCCCAGCTTGGCGGTCGAAGAAACATCGCCCCTGACTTCCCTCACCCTTTCTCTCTGTCTCTCCCTCGCTCCCTCTCTCTTCCTCTCTCTAAACCTAAGTTTCCTCGCTCCACGCACTAGAGCACATCCGTCCACGCTATGAACAGTCCTCGGGACTTGCACGAGGAAGAGCTTCGGAGACAGACAGCGAGAGAGTATAACACAGGCATCATCATCATCATCCTCATCGTACTAACCTCAGGGATGTCCAGAACCTCACAATCATCAGTCGACTCTACTTTCTCAGCACATTTCATCTCCTCCTCATCAATCAATCGATCAATCAACCAATCAACCAACCAACTAAATCCATCCCTCCGCGAGCACCCACCGAATCATCATCCATCATCACCACCACCACCATCTACACCTTCCTCCTCGCCCTGAACCCAACAGGATTTGAACGACGAATCCAGATTGCCTGAAGGAAATTCCACCCACACCCGACCCGACCCAGCCTAGCGACCGATCGCTCACAGCTGCAGCACCAAGCCTCCTCCTGCTGCTCCTGCTCCTCCTCCTCCTCCGCACTCGATCCCTCGGTACGAGTCTGCTGCGATAGAGCTCGTTCCGGTCATCTGCCGGGCCCGGAACGGGATGACAGACAGACAGCCCGACTCGAATTCTACTCGGCTCCCGCTACCGTCTGCGCGTCCACCAGCGCGCCTCGACAGGTTTCGGCTCTCGGCCCCGTCCCCGTCCCGCTCCTCCCACCGTGCTCCGCTCTGCCGTCATCGCGTCCGCCAAACCCCTCCGCGCCCCTCGCCCCGTCGCCGTCCCCGTCCCCGTCCCGTCATCATAAGAGATCCCTCACGCTGCTGCTCGCCTGACGCCAGCCATGCTTCCGACATACGCTCCCTCCCTCCCTCGGAAGACTGCCCCGCCCCTTCCCTTTCTCCCCTTTCCTTCCTTACCTCGTCCGTCCTCCGGGAAAGCCGCCCTCGTTTTCAGGCGTACGTTCTCGCTCGCCACGGAATATTTCCCGCTGACTGCCGCCGTGCGCGGCGCCGTTTTTTCTGCCGGTGTCGTCTTTCTCGACCGGACTCGCTCGGTCAAGTCAACTCAGGTCAGGTCAGGTCAGGTCAGGTCAGGTCAGGTCAAGAATGTTTCTCCGTCCCCGCGTGACGAGATAGAGAGAGAAAGAGAGAGGCGTGCGACACTCCAACTGTCGTTCCCGGTGCCGCTCAAGGCCGACGAACATCTACCTTCAAGCCGGCCGCGTCCTTCCGGCACCAAGGAAAACGGACTGCTTCGGTACTGCGATATGCAATGAGCTTCCATGGAAGATGCAAAGAAACATCAACCACCTGTTGGAGCAGGTCACACGTAAGTCTAAACCGGTAATTACAGTTTGCCACCCTTTCGCGTTACACCTCGCCTGGAATACAGGGTGGAAGCTTGCCGGAACCCTCCCCGGGAGGACTCGTGGCAGCTAGCCAGCCAGCGCGCACCCTCAGCCATTCAAGCGGCCGAGCCTCCAAGCGAATTTCTGCCGACGAGAACATTCCAGAATATTCTGCTCCGGCGGGGGGATTCCTATATCCTTCTGTCCGTCTACTAATCTAGTGAATGATAGATAATTCAGAGACCAGAGGCGCTGCAGTTGGCGGACGGAAAGCAGACTGCGGAAAGTGAGGACGGTTGGGATGCCCTCTACGGGAAACGGCAATGATGTGTATCAGTGCCGCTAGGAGAGCCACTTACCGGCGCTGAGAATACGAGCCGCACTTCTCTCGCCGCACAAGCGCTCCCGTGCAGGGGCAAGGCGGGAGTTCGGATTGGCGCGCTCTCACGACGGGAGTCGGTCAGTCGGTCGATCGTCGCGAGGGCCGGCGGGGAGAGAATGTTTGTCCGTCCATTCTGCGGCGACGGAATTCCCCTTTTGTCCCCACTGGCGGGCCGCGCCGGCCCAGAGTCGAGCGACGTCGGTCACTGCGCCGAGGACAGTGATTGGTGAATGATGCTTCTCACTGAACGGATCGGACGTGGGTCAGATCAGAAGGGACCCGTGAGATCTCTATCTAGACTGCTCTTAGCTTTCTAACCATGGTAAGTTCCGGCCTCGAGCCCGCAGTGGCAGCCGAGTCATTTTGACCGCTGGTTGAACCTCTTCACTCCCTGTGGTGAGTGGGTGATTTTCCCGTTTAATCAACAACATGTTTTCTCCAGGTAGAGGGAAAAGCTGGCAAGTAATAATCGTGTACAGTACGCTGTACTGTGCAGTATTCGACAGAAGATACGGCACAGTCATGAAGTGAAGACTGCGACGATCATTTGAAACTCTGTGGAAGAGTCATTGCCGACTCGAGTAGGAGAGCGCCTGGGTTTAGAAAGAGGGGTTTTACCTACCGGGTACACAGGCATCATGGGAGTGACAGTCGCAGTCGCAGTCCGTGAGGCTCAGACGGTGGAGAAGACCGGATGACGTGAAGCTTGACGTCCTCCCGTACCTCTCAACATTCTTTCGGATCGTGGGTGACCGAAACTCACGCGTTGGGTTTTATCAATATCCCTGGCCCTTCTTTCTGTGTGGACAAATTCCGTGCAGACACTCTCCGAATCGAAGTCATCGAGTGAGGCGATGGACCCCAACCTTGTGTCTAGACATGCTCTTGTAAGCTATTACGAGAGTGCATTTAGGTCGATCTATGGTTATCTATCTCTCTAAGACTCAGGTAGGAAAGAACCTCGATGTCGCCACTGGGTTTTTATTACTATTTGAAAATATACAGCAACATCAAGCCACAAAAAACCAAAACAATAGAGAACTAATCCATCTCCTGAATATAGTAATTTCATAGGGCTCCTCTTATGTGTATTGAATGGAAGATATCAGGAATAAACACAACCTCCGGTTTCACATAAGCGAAAGATGAATGCTTCACATCTAGATGAGTATTTGTTCAATATTGTAACTATCCTGGACGACAAATTTAACCGGCTGCACATTATTAAAAAATTGATTTGGTGTGAGAAACAATGTAGCTTGTAAAAGTCGCATTCCACCATTTTTTTTGTAGTTATCTCATTGAAATCACATCATCAGATCTTATAAAAATCTGTTGTGATGCAAATACTATAAAAAAATTATTACAATGTCGTACGGATATATTATATCAAACAAGACTAACTATAATCTTGAATAATCATACTAGGGTTTAAAGTAACTTCCTATCAGATTCATTTTACAAAATAAAGAGAATAAAAGATGAATATAATAAAATAATAATTTTTTCAAAATTTTATAAAATAAATAGTTAAGCAATTAAAATTTATCAGACAGAAAAAATATTTAATCATAGAAATATGTATATGTTGAATATATGTTAAAAAAATCCATGTTATTATTAATATATTTATGAACGACTATATTTTGTATAGCACTCCATTTTGAATACTAGAACAAAATTTTGGCTAGGATTTTTTTATTCTATAATTTTAAACTTGTATAACTCATATACTTTCTCAAATCATTTTTATAAAATTTGAAAAAAAAGTAAGTTCTTTATTCAAAATGCCATAATTTCATATTTTTTTTAATTGTTGTGATTTTAATTTATTTTTTAGAATATTAAAATCTTTATTACTAAATATAATTACAATTTTTCACATATCAATAATTTATAAAAAAATTCTTTTTGTTATAAAATTTTTTTACAAATGTTAACAGGACAAATTTTTTGTGCATGTATAAATGATATCAACATTATATCAAGCATCATTAAACACATTCCTTTGAAAATTTCTTATGTATCATATTATATTTTGAAAATAAATATAATTTAATGATTAATTATTTTCTTTTATATTTTTATTAGAAATAAATTTAATTATTTTGTTCTGTGATTGAAAAATAATTTTATTGAAATTTATAATTAATAAATCATGATCCTAAATACATCATATCTATGTTAATTGATGAGAGTAATACATCAATTAAAATACCAACATTCATTTAAGGTTTATAGCTAAAAATATAAAAAAAATATTATATATATATATAGGGGAATTTTTAACGACTACATCTAATGTTAAACTGACCACATACGTGTCACCTGTCAAAAACAAATTTTGGAGAGGGACTCCAAAATGAGCTTGCAAGAGAACTGTTAAAGCCTTTGTTGAAGGCCATTGCTGAGTCCTTGGGAGTATCACCTCTAACGTTGTTTTTTTCACAGGAAGGAGGGGGAAGCCAAAAACACACTCGGAGCTGATATTGACAATAGTTTGTTCTGACAAATGATGTGATTGCCAGACTCGTCTCTAGTCTGAGTGTGGTCATTTTAACATTACTCTATATATATGGCAATTGTTTTGATATTCTATTGCTAGAAAAAGTTAATTTTCTTTTATTTTTTCAAGCAGTAAAATATTTCATTATCCAAAATTATATATATAATGTGGAATTAATGAGTTTAATTAATATGAAATTTGAAAAAAAATATCTTCATCAAGAGTGCAACTATACAAGCCAACAAGACAGACTTTAATAAACTCAAAATATTATAAATTTTCATTTAATAAAAATAAATATTATTTTTATTCTTACAGTATATACGTATGGAAATTCCATTGTTTGTCAATTAGATTTTTAAGCATATATGAGTATCAAGCAATCAAATATTTTTGCACAATCAGTGAAGTTAATTCTCAGCTGAAAAGATTAAAGATGTATGAAAGGTTAATAGATAAATAGTTTTTAATTGAAAGTAAATTAACTTATCCATACAAACGTTTTAGAAAAACTCTTATTCAGATTGTCCTTCAAATCAGTCTTGTCGAATATATTTTAGATTTGAATAATAATGATTATAGGGTTTTGAAATATCTTGTATATTTGAGAAGATGAATGTTAGCATGTGAATGCATAAGGTAATTAAAACAACTTTCATGTTCAAATTAAAAACTCAATTCCCAATGTTTGAGATTTGGAAGTGAGAATGACGATCTGGATTTGTTATGATATCATAAATCGAATTTTTTTTGTTAACTAGCCTAACAGATGTTTAAAATTTGCATTTTTTACAAGTGACTTGAAAATGAAATAGATTTCAAATCTCTTGTATTTCTGTTTTCCTCTATGTATACATGATAGATTCATGTATTTTTCATACATGTGGATATCAAATTTAAATATTAAAAATATAAATTATTGTATGCAAAAATAGAAAATCATCACGCTTTTTTAGTTTAATGGAATATGTCAGTAAGATTATTTGTCAATCAATGAACTCTGATATTAAGTAATGTTTTTGAATTCTGAGAAATTATTGGTTTGAACCTGAATCAATTCAAAGTTAATGAATTATTCAAATAAAATTATATAAATGTATTATGGTAATGAATATTAAAATAGTATTGTAGAGGTAATTTTAAAATATCGAATAAAAGAACCAGTAGACATATAAACAGTACTTGAATTTAAAATGGAATAGTATTACATTTACTAAAGACAAAAAACTTGTGAAAAATGAAATATTAACTGCGGGAAATTTCATCGAAGGCAGCAAAGAAGACAACACATATGGAATGAATGCCAGTACAGGAAATATTAAAGATTGAGAAAAAATACAGGTCTGTTCATAGAAGGGGAGTTGCTCAATATAATGACGTAACATAACATTACAGAATATTGGTTCTAGAAAAGAAAACGTTGTAAGATGGAGATGCTCAGATCGATTTTTTTTTTAAGAATGGGAAATTTCAAACTAATACTTCTGGCAATTTATTCGAGCAGCAAGAATCTTATTGAAAGCATATAGTCAAGACATGAAATTGAAGGCAATCAGATAATTACCCAAGAAACTATTCTCATGCTGATTTTCTTTGCAAGATGACGAAACAGCATAGACTATGAAAATTTCAAGTCTGCTGTAAATGTGAATTTTATAACAAGACGTGATGTTTATTCAAGGGATGAAGTCGCACCAAAACGATGACGAGGATTATTCTCATCATCAGTATAACAATAGACAAGGTACGCGATTCAATCCCACTTCTCTTCCCCTCTGGAACTCGATAAACCCTAATGGGATGTGCATCTCCGCAACTAACCTACCCGTCCATTTTGTACTTTGTGGAAACCCAAACGAATTTCTCCGAATTAAATTAAATTCAAGCATGGAGAGAGGTTCGAGTCCCAGAAATCCGACGGCACATCCCCGAAAGGCATAAAGAAGTCCATCACGTTAATTAAAAATCCGGTCCCTCTGGTCGTATATAATAAAGGCTTAGGGACAGGACGAATTTTTCGTAATCTAAAACTGATTCGGCGCGGCGAGGGGTGTAACACCAGGAGAGGTATCTTGCCACTAGGGCAACATCTTGCCGGGGGACCCGGACTCTCTGAGAGCATCGCAGCAGCCTCGCAGCCCTCGCAGCAGTATATAAAGATAGACCGATATTTACAATGTCTGTTGCAAAGGTCGCTCTTCATATCTACACCGTCGCTCTAGTGGAAGCTTGTCAGGTGAGGAGAGGAAGACGCGGGCGATCCAGTGTCGATTGAAGGTGCGATTTTTGCCAAGCTGTTGGAGTCGAGGGAGGGCGAGCGAGGGCGAGGGGAGGAGGAGGGGGAGACGGAGTGGCAGGAGCCAAAATTTTGAGCGAGAAAGAGAAGAAGTGAGCCATAGATGGTGAAAACTACGTTGAGGCACCTTGGGGGCGTTGAGCTGGTAATATTTTGGAGATCCACAACGACGGAGAGGTTGCCACCTTCGGAATTCGATTGGAGTGGAAAAAATCCGTCTAGTAGCGGGTACGAGAAAGTGCTGCATCCGGAGGTGCTGCAGTTGGAGAATTTGTAGTCCTCGGACTCGTCCGGAGCTCGGGCGAGCCCCCGCATGAGGCTCGTTGCCCGGCGCAATAAAAGTCTGTAATCTCGTTCGACGATGAATATGGACTCGGATAATGCAGGAAACGGACTCCTCTCGTCGTCCTCGTCTCGCGGCTGCGGCAGCGAGAGGGACTGTGGGTCCGACGATGGATACTCGTCCAACATCCAGTCGAAGGAGTATCTGTTCGTCGACGATATTCTGGAGCGGTACGTGGGCGAATTCGGCCGGGCGCAGTTCTGGCACTTCGTCATGGTCAGCTTGGCGTGGACCTTGGAGGGCCTGATCACGATGGCGACCATTTTCGCCGATCGTGTCCCGGAATGGCAATGCGTGCCTCAAATTTCCTCGAACGTCACCCAGCTCTGCACTCCCGCTGCCAAGCTCTGCGATTTGGATCCCTCTCTGTGGGAATGGGCGGCGGGCAGCGGCGCCTCCACCGTCGCCGAATGGAACCTCGTCTGCGGCAACGAGTACAAAGTGGGCCTCGCTGGAGCACTGTTCTTCGCCGGCGGATTGTTAGGTACGCACGATTCCTACCTCCCTTCTCTTTTTGTGTCCACCATGAACGAAACCAACGAGCCACGGATGTCCAAAGACTTTCGAGACTCCGAGTTCAATCGAGCTATGTCGAACCACAATCCTCCATGCAATGAAATACGCACGTCTTTATGATTGATTCTTCTCGTCGAGTGCACAAAACTCGGCCCGAACAGAGCCCTCTCCATTTCCAACTCCAAGGTGCAGGAGATGGTGGCCTCGAACGTCTGAAGTCACCGCTGTGCCGTCGAAGAGAGGCACGAGATGTCGCACGGTCAGCCTATTGTCCGAGGCTCCGCTGCTTAGTTGTGGATGTGAATGTGAGAGTGAATGTCGAGAGAACCTCAAAACCGCCCGTCCTTTCTTTTCTGGCAAGAGGCCGGTCCAATCACCAATCTGGTACACGCAGTACTCGCGTTTCATGATGAGTACTTCGTTCGTTAAACGTCGAGGAGGAGGAAGAGGAGACAACTTCTGCTCCATGGCTGTTACGGGGTAGCTGTAACTTCTTTTAACAGTCGTTACTCCCGGGGCGCAATGAAGGCTTGTGTGCAGCTAAGGGCCCGTGAGACCCTTGGTGCCGGCGGTAAGGGTTCTAGGGTGGGGCGGGGCTTGAGTCGGGGGTTCTGACATGTTTGTGGGCTTGTGGACAGGCGATGGATTGTATGGGAATTTATCGGACTCGATGCTGGGCCGGAAAGGAGCTCTGGCTCTGGCGTGCATGATGACATCGATCATGGCGCTCTTGACGTCGGTCGCGCCCAACTACTGGGTCTACATCGTGCTGAGATTCTTGACGGGAATAAACGCCAGCGGAATTGGGCTGTGCTGCTTCGTGCTCGGGACCGAGCTCGTGGGCCCAAAGAGGCGAGACTCCGTGGGGATGTCGGCCTTTTATTTTTTCTCGCTGGGGATCATGATTCTGCCGGTCTTCGGCTTCCTCTCGGCCTCGTCATGGAGGACGCTCTATTTCTCTATCGCCATCCCTGGCCTCGTTTACTGCACGCTTGTCCTCCCGTTCATGTCCGAGTCGCCTCGATGGTTTCTTGTCAAGGGAAGGGTGGGCGATGCCATGAAGATTCTGCGGGCGTTCGCCGAGAAGAATGGCAACTCCATCCCTCCCACGGCGTATCTGACAGCCGACAAAAACGACTCGCAGGCCGAAGACGACCTGGCCGAGGAGGAGGATCGAGCCGCCGAGGCTGAGTACTTCGCCTCCAACAAGGAGTACAGCAAGACGGATCCGCTGCTCGGCTACCAAGACGACCCGTCCATCGCCATCGGCATCTACGACTGCAAGCCCCAGCGAATGCTGAGCTCGGAGTACGTGGGCACCATTTTCGACGTGTTTCGGTACGGGGAGACGAGGTGCAGGATGCTGCTCATGGTCTGCATCTGGTTTTTCATCGGAGTCGCTTACTTCGGCATCAGCCTCAACGTGGTGAACCTGGATTTCAATGTCTATCTGGGAGTGTTCCTCAATGGCCTCATCGAGATCCCTGCGTTCGCTCTCACGGCCCTCATGCTCAACAAGCTGGGTAAGAGGTTCATGCTCATATTCGCGCTCTGTATATCGGGCGTCTGTTGTCTTCTGGGCAGTCTGCTGTTCGTCAACATGCCGGGAGGAGCAGTCATGAACGTGGACATGAACCCAGCCCACGTCAATTCCACTTCCCTGCATGCCTTCTCGGGAATGGAACCCTGGCACCATCTCGAGGGCGCCTCGTTGTCGAAACATTTGGGTCTCAAGACAGCAGCGGGGACGGACGTGATGGCCGTCTTGCGATTGCTGTGTGGAATGGCGGGGATTTTCGGTGCGTCAGCGGCCTACAATCTGGTCTACATCTACACTCTGGAGCTGTTTCCGACCGTGGTGAGAAACGCTGCTCTGGGGCTGGCCTCGCAGTTCTCGAGCATAGGAACGGTGGTTGCGCCGCTGGTTGTTGTTCTGGGCCGGTACAATCCTGCTGTGCCGTTCCTGATTTTCGGAGTGTTCTCCTTGTTCGGCGCTGCTATGGGATCGAGACTTCCGGACCATCGCAACGAAGCTTTGTTCGAGACTTTGGAAGGAATGGAGGAGGCTGAAAATGCCAGGAAACTGGTCGATGTGAAAGGAGTATAGCTCGCTGCCGCCGTTGCCACATGACAACATTGGAGGTCAGAGGTTCTCTTTCCCTTCGCGGTGCTGTGATTAATCGCGTGCCCGTGGGAGACAAAATGCATGCCTTTCGTTTCACCCTTAGACCGTCTGCCCAGAGAGCAGTGAAGAATATCTTTAGGTCGTTTCGGGTGCAGAATGAAGTCAATGGACGAGAGGTAGGCGTTGTGAACTTGATGCGGCATGTGCTCAGTTTCAGCGTTGAGCTTTTTTGGTTCGACGAGGTGATGAGCATGAATATTGAACAATTTCGCAAGCAGTTCCTTGTAACATAGTAAAATAAAACCCTCTGGGCCTTTCACCTTACCCTGTGCTGACGAAGAACCTCAGGCACGCCCTGCCACTTGAACCGTGCGGTCTGGAGCAGATGTTGATGCCTTGGTTTAAGTGTTAAGCACAAACGCGCTCGATGATTAACAGCAAGGAGATGTAGATTGCTTCATTTGAAGCCATTCGTTGACAGCACTTTCGGTCCCCTATGGAGGTCCAAATCTATGGATAGAATAGTCCTCTACATGAAGTAGATTGCGTAGTTTCTGTCACACCGACTGCTTTCATGAGCAGGCAGGAGTGCATGAGACTTGAGGTCGATTAGGATTCACCACTGTGTAGCTTTCTGTGCACTACATTCTTCAACAATAAAGCCTGAAATTGTGACAATTCAAACCACTGGTCATTTCTAGTTTCGGTGCTGAAACATGTGTCACATGTTTCAGCAAGAAGAAAGTTCGCCTGTCCTCCAGCAACTCCAACACTTCTTCGGGCGATAACAGTGATGTCCAAAATGAACATCCGCTTGCTTGAATTCAGAAAACATGTTCCTCCATGCTCGATACAAGAATGCTTTCCAAGCCCGAGCGATGCCTCCCCACTAACGAACCACTGCGTGCCACGTTGGAGGGAGAAAAAAACCTCAGCCGGGAGCTTTTCTCTTCATCCCTCAGGGACCAGCCACCCGCATCTCATGCCAGCAATTCGCTTAGAAGCAAGTACAGGAGAAAGGTTGGATCAAAGAGCCGGTCGACAGTGTGGATTGCACGCCATCATCACTCCTCGACAAAACGCCTTCCTCTTATGTGCACACGATTGTCAAACCCGTGGAGTTACGGTGGGCTACATCTGCGTCGTAATAGCATCGAGGGAAACATTTGCCACAGCTCCGATAGGCACCTGGAGCAGAGAACGACGAAGCAGATGCCCTTCGAATCTGAGGTGGATGACAAGGTTGTTAAATCCTAACTTACGATCGCATAGGAATCGACGGATAGATGATCACTCATGGACGCAGTCATTAATCAGATCGTCGAAGTAAATGTAACAGGCAACCGTAGAATCTGAGACCCAGGACCGATGGAACTCGGCCCCTTGGCTCTTGGCTCTCCACGAGCGAAAGAACAGCGCACTGAAGGGTCGCTGGCATCGAGCATTCTTTTCGGATGGGTCCTTTTCGGCCACGGTGCCGAGGGGCGCAATTCGCTCATGCGTTCTCGTCTGTAGGTAGATACTGTCAGCGGAGCTCTTTCTGCTAGATTGTATGCCTCGACAGCAGGCCAACTTGGCGAGCGCATCTAGAGCATGGACGGGGCAAGTTGACCCAAACGGCCGTAACAAACAGTGCGCATCACCCACATGATGGGTCGCGGTCAGGGCGATGAGGAGTGACATCAACCGACAAAAAGGGCACCTGGAGAGGAAATGGCATCGGTGGTGGTCAAAGAGGGTGCACCGCAGCAGCAGCAGCCTGAAGAGGCCGCCCGCCGCTGACCTAGATGACCTGATCGGGAGGCTCATGGGCCATGAGCCTCCCGATCATCCAGTTGGATGGAAAAACCTCCTGGAGTGAAAGAAAGTAAGAAACGAACAGCAAATGGGATCGGAGGAGGAGCATGTGTTGGCAAGGAACGAATATGCAGCTGCAGCTATGGCCGTTTGAGTGCTGTCTGAGGCTCTGACTGACGCCAGCCACCACCTTCCTTCCCCCCCTCTCCCTCTCCCTCCCCCGTCCCCCGGGCCCCACAGACCCCAGTCAGCTGCCGGGATTACTGACCAGTCTGCACTTTGCGGTTACCTGCCCGGAGTCTGATTCGGCCCCCCAGTGGCAACAAGTTTTGCTCGCCAATTTGAGTTTGAGCTGGACTCTGTGCGTACTTCTCGCAGATCATGCATGACCTAGAAGTGAGCATGGTTCGAGGCAGAGTCGACTCGCCATGGCACGACCTTCTGGTCACGTTCATTTGTCTTCGAAGCGCGAATAATGACAACGCGATCCGGAGTCTCTGATTCGAGATCCGGTTGAAGCCGAGAAGCATCTCTCAGAAGTTCTGAAGGGTTAGCCATATCTGAGCTCTGTCTGACTTGCACTGACACAGAGTCACAGTAATCTTCCGAGGTGTCTCTTCTCCCCTGATGTGGAACTTGACATGGTTCGGATTCGCTCTCGGGCTCTCTCTTTCTCCTTCGCGTTGAAGAGTCAAAAAGTGCCATGGTTGCAACGATTCATCTCCGTCTGCCGTCATTGGAGTCTCCATGACATGGATGGATGTCATGCAAGCGCAAGCTTCACATGGCCTCCACGTAGTACCCATGGATTCGTTCATCTGCTCCTTTCCATCCTCTTCCCGTCCTCTCAAATTAAGCCACCCCGGGACACCAATCACAGCTACCGGGTACTTTCCGGCGTCCATGACTGCTACGACATTGGAAGACTCTCTGGTCCAGTCGAGGAGACGTGTGGAATGACTGTGCCTATGGACCCCGAGCCCAGTCCCGACTGCCATTCTGTAATTCTAGCATGGCAGTCGGGGGTCGGGAGCCGTAGGCACAGCTGCAGTGTCATCGGGGTCTCGGGGACTGTTTCCACTCCTGAACGTACTGTCCTCGGTCTGCATGCATCCCACGCACTATGATGACAAGCTATTCCTGTGAATACTCCCGAACATGAATCTCACACGAGTAAAAAGCTTCGTCCATGAGTGCAGAGTGTGGACGAGGACAAGGACACAGGGCTGCTTACACCTGGGATCCGAGCTGACATCCACAGTAAAAGCATTCACCATGGGAGACGAGATTCAAACATGACGAGATCGTCGACACCGAGACGGGTGGACATCCAGATAAGTCTCTTCTAGCGCCGGGATGCGGTAGGCGAACAAAGCTGTCGTGCCTACTGCAAGCTAGCGGGTCGCGGTTGAGATTATTCGAAGACACGGACTAAACAATGGAACCTCGATCTCAGAGGGTCAGTGTATGTCTTCGATACATAGAAAATGAGTCGAATCAGGTGCGTAAATCAAAGTGTACCGAAGATATTTGTGAGAAGAAGCTGTCGAGCGACAAAGCGATTGTCTTTCTCGGACCGAGTGCAGCCATGTCGGACGGATGAGAACAGGTCTCGTGTATAGAGACAGTGGAATGTCTACTAGGACGATCTCTCGAGAGAGTGATGCACTATTTCAAGATATGGCAGTTGATTGCGTTTCAGACATATCTGGCCGCAACATGAACGCAAGGAAATTGGGGCATATAATACCCTTCCGTGTTCAGAATGATGACTCAGAGATCAGAGACACTTGGATTTTACAACAATCAAGCATGGTCCCTGGAAACGAACTTTTGAAAATCTGAACCATATCACTCTGCTCGGACTTCGTTTTAGAGGGTCCTTTTTATCGTGATTGCCTTGTCTCGAGATCATGCAAACGAGGCGAAGCATACTGATCACCATGACTCGATGCTGTACATTACTGCAAGTTATCTAAACCTGATGAAAAGGGACTGCAGTCTGAAAAAGTTCGTCACCTGTCTAGATAATGCCTACTTACCTCTAGTAATCCAGTTTTTAAGGCAAGTACCGGAAGTGCTGTCCACTTGATCCTCGCACATGGTCCTCTTTATAACGACTTGTGAATTTTGGTACTTTACCAGACGTAGTACAATAGGTCTATGAAATTCCGGACTTTCAAGCACACAGGAACTTCAGGGACACTGAGATTACAGAACCCCGATTAAAGGTCGCCGCGCCTCTATCTGCTGAGACCCAAGTCTGCAGCAAAGCAGCAAGTATTACGAATGTGAAGTCCTGAGCTTGAGATTTTGAAGATCTTTTGCAAGGAGCTCGCAGGTCCCAGAGGCCAAGTGCTCAACTGCCGGATGGACTCAAAGCTTAGTAAGGATTCTTCAGGAAGGTCTATCATGGATTTGTCGTCGCCTCGAAGTTGAAGTGGGAATCCCGATAACCTTGTGGATAGGTATCCTGATAGTGGTCTGTCACGTCTTCAGAACGAATCTCCTCAATGCGTGAAAACTTGCCACGCCACCTTCTCATGGGCAACCCTGACAAACCTGTATACTTTGAAGGAACGAGATATCTTTACTCTTTGACTATTTGTTCCTAATGTCCTGAGTAACACTAGAGTCCAAACGTCAATCGTGAGAAGTCGGACTTGTGAGCTAGATAAGATTATTGACGCTCAGGTCCGACAGCTTAATTCAGTCGATTGCAGCAAATCTGAATAGATGTTTGTTTCCAGTCATATTCCAACAAATCCTAGGAGCAGAGTCGAGTGAAAGCTTCAGCTTCTACGCCAAGAATAACTGCCATATATATTGTGACTTCCTGACGCGCATCTGGAGATCCCATTCCAAGTAATATCTACTACACCCTCGGCATTTCAGTCTATGCCAAACTTACTCCCGAGCAATGCTAGCAGCGTACCATAGATACAATTCGGATGTCTTGTGTGCCTTCCGTATACTATAGATTGGCATCACTGTGAGTTGGTGAGGGCCAAATGTGATGGACGCCCTGCTTCCTGAAAAGGTCTCGGAGCAGGCAGAAAGACGAGTTCACCTCGCGAGAAAGTATTTTCAAAGAATCTTAACAGCAAACATTTATCATGAACCCATGGGATGTGTGCAAAGTTTTCGACATCGAGGACAGTTGTACGTACCAACGAACCTAGTTTGAATTTCCAGACTTGCAATGATGCAAGCTAGGACATGACCCCACCTAAAATTTCCTCATGGCCAGTTGATGTTCGTAGAACAGTTGTGAGAATTTCTATATACTCATGAGCTTGTGAGAAAGTCGTCTCCGGCATACATGATCATGGACAAGCCTGCTGAGTACATACAACAAGGAAGCCCGAGTCATGTAGGGACGAATATTCGTAACTAGGTGCTATCCAATCGCCTCCCGATGATGCTGTACGTTGAGAATCTTCACAGTGAGTCCAATTCATCATATGAAGAGTTATTTTATTGCTCTGTATTTAGGCATCTAAAAGTTGAATGCACAGGACATCATTCACGAATTCTGGACCTGGGCTAGTCTTCAGTGATGGGATTAAAGATCCCCACCAACACACCGCAACGTTGGTCAACCTCGCAAGTTATTCTGCCTCCAGGCGATTTTACATATTAAATTTTAGTCAGCTTTAAATTATTGCCACTAGTCGCTTTTATCCGCTGCTACCTGGCTTCCAGATCCCCAAGAACCATGCTGCATTCTGCTGATGATATGTCTTCGAGAATCCTTTTTAGATCTACATCTACGCTAAGCCGTTCGGAATTGAGGGGCGACCTGTCCGGTTTCTCCGGATTGAAGGCGTCCTTTATCTTACCGAGGTGCTCCATGACTTCTTTCATGGTGGGTCGTTGCTCACGCTGGGGAGCCAAGCAGTCCAAAGCCAGGAGTGCCACAGCTTCGATGGACTCCATCACCTTCGGGTCGGAAGGTATCAATAAAATCGGGTCTACTATATCTGCAAGCTCTCCTCGTTTGATTGCCTGTATTGAAAGTACAGCGAGGTTGATCTGCTGAGGTTTGCGCTCAAAGTCCACAGGTTTCAATGATGTTATGAGCTCGAGCAAGACGACCCCAAAACTGTACACATCGCTCTTGTCTGTGAGCTGATAGTTTTGGTAATATTCAGGGTCCATGTAGCCAGGAGTGCCCATCACCACAGTCGACACATGAGTTGCATCCTTGGGCACTAGCCTGGACAATCCGAAGTCAGTGACTTTGACTGTAAGGCTGTTGTCTAAAAGAATGTTGGTGGATTTGACATCTCGATGGTAGATAGGAGGAAAAGCGTGAGAGTGCAAGTAGGTCAAAGCTTCAGCGGTCTCGATGGCAATCTGCAGTCGCTGGCTCCAATCCAAAGGCGTAGCTTTTTCACCACGAAGGCCCTGCAGGTGCTCGTATAGAGTTCCGTTGGGGATGTACTCGTACACCAGCATCGGCACTTCAGTCTCCAGGCAGCAACCTAAAAGCTTCACGAGGTTGCGGTGGTTCACCTGTGACAGTATGGTGACTTCGTTCAGAAACTGCTCCGATCCGGCATCGCTGACGTGATTGGTCTTCTTGATGGCGACCACCGTTCCATTCGGCAGCGTGCCCTTGAATACCGTGCCATAGCCTCCTGTACCTATTTCCAGATCACTCGAGAAGCCATTCGCTGACTTAGAAAGCTCTTTGTAGCTGAACATCTTTGCAGTGTCCCTTCCATACTGAGATGAAAACCTGTCGGAGTACGACTTCAGCCTCGAAAGATTTCTGGTGTAGAAGTCCATGGGTTGATGCCGAGTGAGTAGCTTGTAGCCCCAGTATGCACCCACAGCGCAGAGCGCGAACACCAACACCGATGTACTAATGATGCCTGCCAAGCAGGCACAGATCAAATGTCACCAGTAAGCTTTCCAGCTGCGAAGTCTGCACTCACAGACACTTGAACGCTTGAAGACTCGGATCCCATCAACAAGAATCTCGTCTTGAACATTTTGAAACAAGTTTCCTAGCTTACGAGAGCCACATGCACGAAAACTGGAATGACTGGTTGCAACAACTCACCAGCCAGGAAGGCTGCTAAGGTTGACTGTCTTTTCTTCTTGAAAGTTCGTCGTGCGCATGGAGTTGCATTTTCTCCACAATCGACATCTTCTGGGGTTTAAGCCATACGATCTCAGAGTTCGGCTAGGAGAGCAAATACATCATATTGTCGCGCCAAGTAAAACCATTAGATAGCAGCGAAAGACATGGGTGGAAGCTGTCTGCAGAGAACCAAATTGGCAAGGTTATTGCTTGCCAGGGATGTGGATGATACCTTCCAGATTCGATTCTGTCAAAGTAGATCCAAACGTCAAGGGGCCGAAATTCTGAACCACCCTCTTACAGCCGGTACCGTTGATCAATCCGTCCCCTGCAAAGAGAGGCTTGCAGTTGCACTCATGCCCTCCTTCGTAGTTGATACATGTTGCGTCCGGATGACAGTCATCGAGCTGGGAAGCCTCACATTCATTCGTGTCTGTCCCACAGAATCAGGAATGAGACATAAGAAATGAGTGAAGCCAAACGCTTTGAGTTACCACAAGTATTGTCTCCATAAAATTCAAACACATGATTGAAGAGATCACTATACGTGCATTCAAGCTGCAGATTCACCACTTTTCTTACGTGAAATGAGAACATGAGACGGAAAAGGAAGGGACGATGTGTACCAGAACATCCAGTCCCATGTTTATAACCATCTCCATGGTACCCTTTCTTATCACAAGAGCAAGTGTAGCCTGGGACACTCTTTACAAAATTGCACGTGGCCTGGGCCGAGCAGGCATAATCAGACAACTGCAGCGCTTCTTCACACGATGCAGGGCCTTGGATAGCCCAACTGAGTTTGAGACCATATCGACCACTGCCCAGAACATCTGCACGTTCGGTGGTGTACGTTTCAGGATAGATGATGCTGGAGTAACCGCAGGTACCATCAGGAGAGTCAGAGTTGTTCTTCGCAGGACCGCCACCGCCCGAGAAACTCAGTGCTCGTGATCCCGATGGAACAGGAGAGCTGCAGCATCCGAAAGAATTGCAGTAGTTCTCCCTGATCTGGTCCGGATTAGCACAGCCTGTCTCGCATTTCATAATATAGCCCTCGCTCTTGTCGCTGGTGAAGTATCCATGAGAGTTGCATCCATTGACGAAAAATAGATTATCTCCAGACACTGCGTAAGGTACCGAATCGTCGAATCTGAGACTGCTGGTTGTGGTGCAGTTGCAGCAAGCGGCTCGAAGGTTTGTAGCGTTTACAATCAAAAAGTCCGGAAGAATATCGATAATCTCAAGGTCCCTCGCTTCACTGCCGCCAGTGCTCAGCTTCAAGGAGCTGCTATCCCCATTCTCCTCACACTGAAGTCTAAATTGTGGAAGTCCACAACCTGCCTCTGTACCAAACGGGTATGGGACCCGGACACGACCGCAAGCATCAGAACACGTTTGCTGCTGCTGAGAAGCCCCCGACTCAAATTCTTGAACCCTGCCTGCAACAATCTGCTCGAATGTAAAACCTCCTAAGATCAAGGCCGCCCATGCTAAGAATGATGTCCATGATAGGAGTGTGACATGTGCTCTTGAACTCCTGATAAGTTCGCACTGCATGTTGTTTTTGGATCCTACCGTGGATGTTTGCGAGCCCCGTGCAGGTATTTATTTTGACTGCAGATCCTTCGAATGGAAACTGAATCGGACTAGACTACTGAGAGTTTCGTCCATGATCTAGTCAGGTCAGTTCCCGTGGTCAGCAAACATACTTGGGAACCATTTGTTTTGAGCTCACAAGAGAACCGGATTTCATGGTGTATATGGCCAGCAGCCCAAAGATTGACCGAATGATCAGCCTCGGAATCATAGTCAGACATGACTTTCAGAGTGACTGCAGGTACTCCATACGACGATCAACCTAGCACCTGCTAACTCAAACAGCCCATCCAGAAGCAAAAACATCTTCGGAAATGGCGATTGAATTCATGAAATTGCGAGAATAACGCGTCAAGGCTAGCATAACCAGACGAGAGCAATTTCTGACAGACATTTCACTCCTAGAATCATCGTAAAGCTTTTGCTCCTTGCTGAACATGGAATATACTCGGGAAATTTTTGCTTCTCAATAGTTGAGCAAGTGGCGGATGCGCAGCGTTACTACCCGAAAAGTCTGCAAATTCGGAAGAATACAGATGCTGAGTACGGGACGAGACGTAGGACATCAAAGTCGGAAACGTTTGCCTCGTTAGCTTTGGAGGTTTGTACTCTGAGGAAGCTCGAACTGCACAAGGAGCTGTGAAGCTGGTTGGTAAGGAAGAGCAGACGAAGAGTGGAAGGCGACGTAGGCCACCTCTCAATCAAATCAGTCACTCTCATTTATCTTGACCCCGCCAGAGGAAAGTCTATACATCTACATCCAATCACCTCCCATCATGACAATCCTGACCGTGTACCCGAACTCCTGAGAGGCTCGCTTGTCCGACTGGTGGACTCTGACATTCAATGGAGTCTGAGTCGATCAGGCGTCCGAGATCAGCAGACGATAGATACATACGACAGAATGAAGTTGCCTCGATGCTTTGACTGCAAGGTTAGGCAACCAAACCTCAGTTTCTTCAGTCTTGTGCACGCATAACAAATTCAGTAGGATTCGTTGGAAGTAGGTGGAGCTCCTCGCTGTCGGGCGTGGATAGCAGCGTTTACGCTGGAGAGATTGTTGGTGAGCCTGGGCATTATTTGACATATACCAGGCGATTCAAGGTAAACGCACCTGAACCAACTTCATTCGTTCAACTTTCGCTGCATGCCATATTCACGTTGTGACCAACCTCGTAAAGAAACGAAAATCAAAGAGGATTCCCAGACTTTAAAACGGTTGCTTCCCTCACACCAGGTTTTGTTTGAACACTTCGATGGACATTCAGCTGCCATTTGATCTTGATCTTGAACTACCTTACCTGCACGTAGACATTTTAGATGCTAGCGACCGGATCGACCATTTCACTATCCACGGCTGTCAGTCCCAGTTGACTAGCCGGTATGAGTACAACACCAAGAGTCTAGTATCGTGCGCATTGATTATATCACAGGGTCCAGGGGTTCCGAGTGCATGCCACATCCAGTCATAAGGGATATCGACGACAACTGTAAGAGTTGATCAATCCTGCAGATCGAGAAGCCCAGACCGGGGGCCAAGTGGACAGCAAAATAGGAGGAGAAAACCCAAGACACGATGAGGATATGATATCGAACGAGTTTCAAATTCAGGGGCTCAAGGCCAATAGTATCACAACGAGATCCTGCACATCACTTATAATCTTCACGAGCAGCATGTCAGAGTTGTATATGAGATCACACGTCTCCTCGGCCCAAATGTTCAACCTTCAACACTCTTGTCAGTGGCCCGCGTACACACTCCTGAACGGGAGACTGCATGATCACATTAGTACGTTGGGGTGCTCTGATGCAGCTCTTTGTGCTTTTCTGCAGTCAGATTTAATGGGAGGAAGGGAGGTGTCCTCACATTTTACATTACCATGTGAATGTTAGTAAATAATGCTCACCTGTTTTTGGTTTGTAGTAAATTTGGTGGCGATGTGTATTTGGATTTGATGAAATACTTTCAAAGAGCAAATCAGCAGGTCGGCTTCATTTACTCTCCATCGATTGCTTGTAAATGAAACCAAGAGTTCTCTAAGAAAAACCTGTTGCAAAAATTGGAGTTTCATTTGCCATGACAAAACTAACTAAATTTGGAACTAAAGCAACGAGAGTTGCTTTAGCTCCAAATAAACAAGTAAACTAAGGTATTTCTTTTATTTATGGTTTCCACCGAGAATTTCACATAATCCTTCACAAGCTAACTTATATGTATAATATGAATTTGTAACGTCTAATGAACATCATGATACAATTTCAAGTGATCATCTACATAGATCTCTAAGGATTTTTCAATTCGACAACATGCGCAATTGACTTTGAATGTTGATTGTAGTTTAGTTTATTTTAATGAACGATGACATCTTTTATCTCATTATATTTCTCATAAAAAATACAAGATAAAATTTTGCAGCTTATAAATGTCATTAATCAATATGTAGTCAAGAAAATTTGCTGTCAATATATATGTGATATGTGATGTCAATACATGAAAATAATAATTCTCTATTGACAGAAGATATGATGACTTTTATGAACAATTAAAGCTCTCTCCTGATACTTTGTCTCACACACATCAGTTTAAATATATCTGAATTAATATTAATATTACAAAAAATACAAAAATGTTTTTTTGAAACACATTTATCATCAATACATATGAAGTCCATCAATTTCGTTTCCTCTATGTTTTTCCGTGTGTTTAGACCTAAAAAACAAAATGATAAAAAAAATATTTAAAAAAGTGATGATTCAAGATTGAACTCATATATATTTAAAAATAAAATTTCAATTCAAATGAAAATCATATAAATAATTTATTAGAGGTAGAGACATGTTGTTATCACTTAAAAAATACATATAATATTAAACACTTAAATAGTTGATTTCTTTCTTTACTGATGCAACTTGGTAATTTTAATCAGAAAATTGATACATTTGTTGCTTCTAGAGAAGAATCCACTAATTTAATAGATAAAAAAATTCAACCCATAGAAGTGAAGATTAAAAATGTGAAGACTAAAGTTCTATGATCATGAACCGAACGGATAACTAGATACTAGAATATAATATTAGTAGTAACCATGTAAGAAAATAGCAACAATATTCAAATTATTTACAAATGAAAAAAATTCTTATAACATAACCTGTATATCATATACAGGTTATGTTTAGTTCATAATAATGGATACAAATGAGCTAAGATAATGTACACCATACACTGGATAAAGTGATTTGAAATTTGTCCAGTATGATAGTAACGATGTACAAGAGTACACGATGTGACGATGTACAATGTAGATTACAAGCATATGAACAGACAGTGAGATGTCAAGATACTTTTACCTTTGAAGCTTGTATTCACACTTTCCTTGCGGAGTGCTTGGCTTAAACTTCATCAGAACAGTCTAGGTTTTAGGCTCCTCGAATTCTTACCACATTTATCTTGCGTATCATTGTATTTGAACTTGTGCTTGGCAGATCATATTTCGTCGTTTAGACGAGGCCTTACCGGTGTAAATTTTGACAGAAGCATGATTTCGATCAGTGACAGTAGATGTTACAATTCAAATGACGAAGTGAATTTCCCGATTCTGATTGATTATCCTGACGGTTCCACCAATCTTAATTCTGGTGTAGTTGCTTCGAAGGAAGATAGGTACTTGGAGTGTATCAATATCGTTAATGCAATGATCCGAGTACGACATTTACCCGCACGTTATTTATCTCTTATCTACTATCTGTTGTTTATTTATGTAATAATTTCGTGTTTTGTCGTCTTCAACTTGCACTCTTTCGCTGAGCCGCATCGCCTTGTGGTTCAACACAACAGCAACATACTATTAAGCCTTTATTCCTCTTTATTTAGGGTCAACGGGAAGATTTCCTATCCGAGCATAATTACTTCGATCTTTTTTTTGAAAAGGGCTTTCTCAACACAACTTGCTTAAAAAACAATCCCCAACAAGACAGAACATCAGAAAAAAACAACACTCCAGTGCAAACAGAATCATCCATTACAACCATATCTCCCAGAAAAAGTAGAAATAATCAAATCGGAATCGGCATCAATTCACACTAGGCGGCAGTAAGTCACTGGACACAAGTTCCACAAATCTCATGTCATGCCAGGCATAACAAGCTCTAGATTAAAATGTACTAAGAAAAGCGTCTGACTATGCGAGACTCTAATGCTTTTCCCGAATACAAACGTCAGTATAATGACTAAAACTCTTTCATGATACAATGAAGAACGCGGTAGGCTGTACCTTTCATGGCCTGTAGGTTCACATAACAGGTATGTTAACAAATCAAACATGCGGTTGACGTCTTGCCGCAGAGGTTATGTAGGAGCAAACCTCGGAGTTCATACCCACCAATCTGGCCTTGACCTTGTAAAGAATGCTCTTTCTCGATTGCAGTGATTCCAGCGCGCCTGTTGTTTACGAGCCACACCACAATGTCACCTCACTACTATACAGTTGGAATTGTTATGAAGCAGGAAGAATCCTCGAACCCGATCGCCGATATCCTTGCCCTACTCATATTTCTGCTGTGTCACAACCACTCATATGGACCCTGAGTCTCCGACATTCATCGCATGTCCATTGCGCTTTGGATTATAGCTATTAGGCAAGTGCAGTAGCTGATGAGAATAAACTCCAAAACTGATCTCCGCTAGCATTGCAGGAACAAAACTAGAATTGGTCAATAACTACATAGGGGTAACCACTACCATCCTGACAACAAAGCTCACCCGACCTCAGGTTTAGCAGCATTTCTACTGCTATACGACAGCACGCAGTAGCATGCAGAGAATGAGCTAATATCTAACTTGGCCTCGAAATTTTTCAGACCAAGCGAAGCTATGCTGCTTTGTACCAAGGTACAAATCTCTCCAGAAACAATCAATTTGGTGTTCTAACTAGATCCGCACTCCCGAAAAATGGGAACTTTCAAAAAACTCATTAATCGTCCAGGTAGTAGTATGATCCCGCGTTCTTCTGCTCTCTATCCTTCGTGGACTCCAGCTTGTTAATACGGGGCCTAAAGTTGGTAGGATCTCGCCGGAAAGTGATATCCAAGTGCTGTTACAATCAAAGCGGTGAGTGAGGAAAAGATGCTAAATACTAAATCTGATTCTTCATTACACGTAAAAGAAGGTCCTAGGTGGAAAGCTTGAACCAAAGACCATCAAAACCAGCGAGAGTCAAGAACAATAGATCAACATCGAAATGTCGAATGCTATATTTACAATCGACAGAACACGAAAAAAGATAGTCCTCGTAGGGAAGGCCTGAACTACAGGTGACCACAAAAAAAAAGCTAGAGTGACAACTCTGATCCAAAATACAAAGAGTGCATACACTCACCGAGAGGAAGAGGTTCATTCCAGTTAGAAGACTTTGTGGCGTGTTTGCACAACAGTCTACCGAAGGTCTGCCCTCATACACAATGACACGATCTGCCAGGTAAGTGGCCATAATAAAGTCATGCTCCACAACAAATGCAGTCTTCTTCGCGTGAAGAATAAACCGTTTAATAACCTTCGCAGCTACGATACGTTGCTCCGAATCCAGATATGCACTTGGCTCATCAATCAGGTAAATATCTGCAGGCTGCAGAGACAACGGAGAAACACAACACGAGACTTGCTCTTAGCGATGTCAGCAGTTTATACGCACACATGAGAGCTACAATTCTGATTTTGGTTTCCTCAACACGAGATACGGAAATAATGGAATCGAGCAATGAAGATAAAATAGCATGCAAATGGTAGTATACCTTGCCGAGGCACAAACACAAGGCTACTCTTTGAAGTTCACCACCAGACAAGTTCACCACCTCTTGATCCATGAGCGACTCAATTTGTAAGGGCTTCATGACATCAGTGTTGAATTGGGGATGCATGTAAGAATCTCTGATTCTCTGATGCAACAGATGTCGCACATTGTTCTGGAATTTGGGACTAATTTTCTGGGGCTTGTAAGAAACGTTGAATTCTGGGACCTCTGTCTCAGATTCCAAAGCCTCGTCGGGTTTCAAAAGACCAGCCTGCACAGATGTCAGTCAAATCAGCACTACATTCTGTGGACCCTTAGATAAAAGTTCACAAACAGTGTGTTGGCACTCCAATAGGCTAGAGTTGTGACAAAGACAAGGAAAACAGAGATGTGATGGCAATGCGTCAAGCCCAAAACAGGACTTGAAACTAGGATACTGTAACGTACGTTGATTGTGGATCCTAGAATGAAGTCGAAGGTTATCTACCCAAATTTACAACACTTGTGCTTACCAGCATACGGATGAATGTAGTCTTGCCTGTACCATTCTCCCCAAGCATAACAATAATCTGAGAATCTGTGAAATCTCCCTCTTTCACAGTCAATTTGAAACCACCCTGGGTCTTGCTCATGTTAGGATACTTGTACCGTGCGTAAGTCCGGATCTCCTCTGCACTCTCTTGTGGTGTCTCGGCAACCTGAAGTAAATGGAACACTCATGAATCAACTTGAAACCTTACCCAGAAAATTTTGGCTTCAATTTCACAGGTTTTTCTTTCTTATACATCCAAGTAATTCTTAGACAACAAGTATTGGACAGACAAGAATTTTCCGTGTTATAGATGTACTTACCTTAAACGTGAGAGATTCATCTCGGAACCTCAGGTTCTCCGTTGGGACAAAACCAGCCAAGAAAATGTTGATCCCTTCTCGGACAGAGAAAGGAAGGGTGACCACTCCATATGCTCCTGGCTTGCCATAAAGGCAGCAAATAAAATCGGACAAATAGTCCAGCACACTAAGATCGTGCTCCACAACAATAACGTAACTGCACAGATCGCCGGACCTGATAAGATAATATTTTAATTCCTCTGAAAATATGAGTAGGATACCCACTCACAAAAGCACTTGCGACAACCAAATGAGGAATACCTGTTGGGTCTTAAAAGAGACCGCACGACTTGGGCTGCCTTTAACCTTTGCTTAACATCAAGGTAACTTGAAGGTTCGTCGAACATATAAATCTCGGCATGTTGCACAGCAACCACTGCAATGGCGAAACGTTGAAGCTCCCCTCCGGATAAATCACCCACATCTCTGTCCAAAACCTGATTTAGATCGAGATCTCTACAGAGCTCAAGTCTCATCTCTCTTTCGTCTTTCTGAGCGAGAACCTCACCCACATTGCCCCTCACAGCTTTGGGAATGTGATCGACATACTGGGGCTTGATGATAGCCTGCATAGCAGGCAAATAAAACCATCTGCATAACTTCAGACTTCCCGTCGAAACGTGACATGGAAACAATTGCGCCTGGTACACAAAGTAAATTTTTTGAAGAAAAACAACGGCTCGACTTCCAGTCGATAAGGCGACTGGGTACGTCGGGATTGACATATAACTTGTAAGAATGATCATGCACCTTCAAGTTGTCCTCCAGAATACGCGTGAAGTAATTTTGCAGCTCTGATCCTCTGAAGTAGGTTAAAATTTCTTGCCAGTCAGGGGGGTTCTGCAGATGAGGGCATACGAAAATTAGTTTCATCGAATTCGTTCAGCCCTAAAATAGACATGACTCATATGCATTAAAGGGCCATAATGGTGTGACAATCAAACGGGAAGTCACCTCGAATCTGCCAAGATTCGGTTTCAGCTTTCCGGCCAAAACTTTCAGAGCTGTTGATTTGCCGATTCCGTTTGTACCGACTAAACCAAGCACCTGTCCTGGTCTCGGAACAGGCAACCTGCAATTCGACCATACAACAAGAAACGGTAAATAACAACTTCGTCATCACCACAGAAAACTTGGAATTCAGCACACGATTTTAGCGTTCCTGGTTTCCTTCCAAACGTTACTAAACAGTGTTAGCTAGTCACAACGTGGAGACTATAGACGCCTTGCCATTGCAAAGTGAACGTGCTCGTTCCTTAGTCTCAGGTGCAGTGCCTACTAAAAAGAGGATCCCAGACAGTGACCTCACCTGTGTAGCTTGAATGTGTTCGGACCATATCGATGGGTCGTGTCCTTATCCAAATCCTTTGGCAAGTTAATGATCTGGATTGCCTCAAACGGACATTTCTGCATGCAACAACGAAAAATTAAGAATCTGCTCACGCAGTTCTCATAGTGCAGCATCCTCATTGGATAAGGCGGCGCAGAAATCGGATTGAAAAATCAAAAGCCCATACCTTCACGCAGATACCACAACCAATACACAGCTCCTCTGAAATGAAGGCGATCTTCGAGCCCGACGAAACTTCAATGCAAAGCTTTCCTGTCAAAGCAGCCACACCGACCGACTGAGCGCATGTCCAAAGGACGCAAAACACACAAGCACAGTCTGCAATTTCCCAAGGCCAATTCGCAGATGGAATTCCCGCGAGCTGACACTCCACCTTTCTCAAGTCGACCCACTAGTGACAATTCTTCAGACCTAACTAACCAGATTGAGCACAAACCTGTTTTGACGACAGGGCAACTCTTTTTACATTCTTGCCGGCATTTCTTAGGCTTGCAGCGATCGGAGCTGACAATAGCAATTCGCGTCAGGCGATCCGACATTTTCGAGACCCACACGAGCCCGATCAGCCAATGTCCCTTCCTTCCTTCCTGTCGATAGAGAGATAGACCGAAACTCCGATCGAATCGAGGGTTTCGGAACCGGCCCCTCTCGATTCTCCGTCCGCTGGAGCGAGCAGAAGAAAGAGTTCAGCTTTCTCCAGCAAAGGACGAAAAGCAAGCAACGCGCTCGTGCCTGAGTCAAACCCTAAAAGCCTCGATCTCGTATTAGGCACACTTTTGCCTCACGCCCGTGTCCGCTACTCCCCCTTCCCGCAACCTGGCCTTCAGGACCGTCTCCAGATGTCATCAATCCGCAATCGCGCCGAAGATATGGACACCCTGTCCGCTCCTGACTTGACCACCAAGTAAAATTCGCCCTTCCCCGACCGCACTCGAGCATGTTGTCCGGTTCCGACGTGGTTGCTCGGCTCCACCTCGCCTTTATACCACGTGAGCAGATTTTAATGGTTTAATGTCGTCGACAGCTCTGTAATATATATTGATATATATTTCGTTACGGGCTTCGACGGCTGAAATTGTAACGCGGTTGCTTTGAGGGGTCGACTTCCTAGAACCCTACTATGACCTAACGTGGAGGGTGATAATATGCAGGGATTTGTTTTCTCTTGTTACTATGGTTGTTTACAAGTTTGAGTTCTATGTATTTAATGAGGCTCACTTCTTCCCCATTTTTAGCGACAATCACAACTCGCCTCCTTTTATCTTGATATGAATTTTTCCATCACTACATTGTAGTATAGCTCAAGACTCCCATAGACAGATGCAAACAATCATCTATTAAATCCGCCATTGAGGTACAACGTACGAATTCAATAGTCAAATTTCACTGTCTTCACTTCTAGTCTTTTCCTTAATCACTAAACTACAATTATCTATTGATTTCGAAGATCATCTCCATGTCATCTTAATCATTTGCATGATTCCATCTCTTGTCAATTATTTGATGTAATCAGTAAAATAATGACGGTAGATTTCACAGATGCATTTCCCATGCAACGGCTTTTCTTGACGAAAAGTCGAATAGACGAATGGATGTTACACACATCAACAGTTGACAGAGTAAAATGCAGCAATTTCGCTTACATGTCTCAACGCTTTGTGCGGGATTCTCTGTTCACTTCCTTTCACCTTGTTCATGTTTTGTTAGGACACAGATGTAGGACAAATGTGCACTTATGCCTGCAAAATTCTTTCAAAGTCTGGTAACCAACATATTGGGACACTTTTTCATAATTCCTGGAGGCATGTGAGGTCGTATCCAGCTCTCGTTATGATTCTACAGAATGTGCCATATTTGAGCTGCTAAGACCTCTGAGTAAATTTTCTGTGAGACTTCTCTACAATCTGGATAATTTGTCTCTTTAGCATATACTGTCTTTAGTTGTGATTCAAGATACTGACTTCTGGTACAATTATTGCAATTTGAACCTTTCAATCTTCATTTGTCTTTATAAAGTACAGAGACAAAGTTGGCTCTGCTTTGCTACAGAAAAGAATGTAACCAAGAGAAGTTTTGACATACTTCCTGATTTGCCAAGACATGCTAGTATTGTCTAGGATATATAGTTTTGATCCCTCACTCGATTTCAGCAAACATGTGAACAACTCAGAGTTATAGTTACCAACAGGAGCTTCTAAATAACAGACTGCATTACCAGGAGAAAGAATCGGTTACCTATCAGAAGCTGTGCTGCAGATGAGCAGAAAGGCGAAATCAGAATCGAAATTGTTGGGCTACTGGGCTTCAAGTGTATCCATCTTGAATCTGAAACTTGTATGGTATTAACTACTCAACTTCAGATCATAGAAGTGTGGTATGTTCCACCAGTTGAGCATTTTCTGGTTACTAGCTTGCAGATAAAGATGAGGAAAGTAGAAGTAGAAGTAGAAGTCTGTTGTTTCAGGGGTCCCACAAGGATTTTGAAGGCCTGTATTTCCTTTTCGTCAATATGCTTTCGGGGCTTTATTGCAGCGTTTTGACTCATAATTGATCTCAATCACCCAGTTAAAAGTCTTCACATCCAGGCTTCTGAACGGTGGTACAGAAGCGTGAAATATAAATTTGCAGTATTCTCGCTTCGACCTGAGCTTATAGAGATAGTGCATAGAATAAGAAGTATTTCCTACCTTACATAATATCTTCTACAAAATCTTTGCTAAAGGAAAGGGTATCTGGATTCTCCTGACTGTAATTTTTCTTGCTCAATGAGATCAGTTTCATCCACATATACAATACGTGAAATACAGAAAATATACAGTTCAATGTATCTATGAATAAGAAAGCATTCTGTGAAGCTCATTACTGATAGTTTCATTCCATTTGCAGCCTCAGTTGCGATGTATATTGTACCTTTGATTTTCAGACTACCGAAGTTGTTCGCAAGTCAGTTTCAGATTGTTTCATCAATGCTGAAAATTGAAGAACATGTAGATATCAGACTGTGTTGATTACCAAAATAAATAGACAGATGAAATGTATTCAAAACCGAAAGAAAGACGTTTGTAAAAATTCTGACGTGAATGCTTTTCAAAACAGTGTATCACTGCGACTGGATTTATATACTTGGTTCACTCAGTCAGACACTACGTAACACAGCCCAGTTTTCTGGACAAAAAGTCGAACAGACGAATAGATGTTATCTAAATCAACAGTGGACAGAGTAAAATGCAACAATTTCCCTTACAACTCGATATGGTTCAGTGGGACTCACCTGTCTCGACGCTTTGTGCGAGATTCTCTGTTCACTTCCTTTCACTTTTACATGTGTTGTTAGTACACGGATGTAGGACAAACGTGCACATGTACGTGCAGAACTCTTTCAAATTCTGGTAACCAACACATTGGGACAATCCTTCACAATTCCCGGAGGCATGCCAAGCCGTATCCAGTTCTCTACAGAGATTGCCATATCTGATCTGCTAAGTCCTCTGAGTAAATTTTATGTGAGACTTCTCTACAATTTGTCTCTTCAGCATATCTTGTCTTTGTGTCTAACTTAAGATGCTGACTTCTGTCACAATTATTGCATTCTGAAACTTTCCATCTTCAGTTTTTTTATAAAACACAGAAACAACGTTGGCGCTGCAAAGTACTCAGAGGTGGCTGGCGCTGCTTTGCAGCACCAAAGTTGTTTCTGTGTTTGAGAAAAGTTGATGGGGGCAGCCTGCTTCTCGTCGCCGCTCTTGGGCAAATTCGTGGCGACCTCCGAGTACTTCTCCATGTCGAGAAGATATCGATGATAACCCAGACATGGCCCTTCAGCTTCTGGTTAGGTATGAGTCTTGACTATGAAGACCACCACCATCGAAAAACGCAATACATCTTCTCATCTGCAGGGCAGCCATTGTAGTGGGATTCAACATAAGGAGCCTCTTCTCTGCAGTTGCTGTTGTTCTCTAAATCATTCAGTCCGAAAAAAATTAACAACTTGATTGTTAATCAATTTTTTTACCTAACAAAATAAAACAACATATGTAATAGTAATGTGAAAAAGATAAAAGCTTAAAATTTGAAAAATTTTATTTTCATTAGTGATCTCTATTTATAATTTAGATCAATCAAAGATCTTACGAAAACATCAATGTCAAGACATAAAATACAAACATTGAGTGGATTTAAAAAAATAACCAAAAATAACAAAATGTTCAACATGTGCGGCTCCTTGGTGATGTGTGAAATTACATTAAATTTTGATTTTGATACACAGCTATTTATATTTGGGTCATAACAGGTGATAGATAGATAGACTCCTAATACAACGGAATATGCTGCGAATTATTCTTTCCAGCGTTCTAGCGTAAGAAACTCTACGTTTCTAAAATTCTGCAAGCACCTACAGGTAAAATTGTTTCAGGTATGAAACAATTTTATCGCTCGTTGGAGACGAACGTTGTGTAGGCCAATGACAAATGGAGGAAGATACACAGTGACCCGCTTTACTTCATCAAAGAACAAAAACTTGAAAGAATCATAAGGAATCCATTGTAATGGAAATGCTGGCGAACCAAGTGCGTTAGAGACTGAAACCTAGGAAGGACAAAGAGGAGGAGGACGACGACAATGATGATGGTAACCACAGAAAGAAGAGAAAAATAGCAAGAATAGAAAGAAACGGTATAGAGATCACAAGCACGAGAAGAAGGGTGAGAGAGATGGCAAGGAGAAGAAAAAAAAATAGAAGAGACAAACACAGCAAGCAACGAGGGCGAGATGATTCAAGTGACTCGGAATACTCTTATTCAGAATCGGAGGCCAGACTTTCCAAGAGACGGGTGGAGGCCGATCACAGGATCGAAGGAGAAGCCGGACCCGACAGACGATCGAAGATGTCCACCAGAGACGGGAGTCCCGTTGCGCGACGAAAGGAGTAACGACGTGAGAGAGAAGGTGATATAAATGATGTTGATTAGGAAGGGAAGCCGACGTTGGTGACAGATACAGAGAGAACAACAGACCATCCGAGAACTATTACGATCGGAATGACAGATCTAGGAAGTCTGAATTGAACGGAAGTCTACGAGAGAGTATGACAGGGACTACATGTCTTCAATGGGTCATGAGAATGGGGATTATAAACAGAGGGAGACTTTTGGTCGTGAAGAAAGGCATTCGAGGTCCCTCTGTGAGCATGACAGGTCAGGGAAGTCGCACAATGCCAGTGACGATCGATCCAGGACGTACGATGAAACACAGAAACAACATTGGCGTTGCAAAGGCAGCGCCGATGTTGTTTCTGTGTTTCATATAAAAAACTGAAGATGGAAAGGTTCAGAATGCAATAATTGTAGCAGAAGTCAGCATCTTAAATTAGAACCATTTCGCTGCTTTGCAGCGAAAAAGAATGTAACCAAGAGAAGCTTTGACATCCTTCCTGGTTTGCAAAGACATGCCAGTATAGTATAGGAAATATTGATTTGATCACTCACTCGATTTCAGCAAACATATGATCAACTCAGAGCATCGTCATAGTTACCAACAGTCGTAGTTCTAAATATTATCATGAGAAAGAATCGGTAACCTATCAGAAGCTGTGTTGCAGATGAGCCGAAAGGCGAAATCAGAATTGAAATTACGTCTGGTCGTGCAGAACAAAAGAGTCCACCTTTGTCCGCAATGTCAAGTTCCGATGCACGAGCAAAAAGTCATAGTTTTAGTATAGTACTCAAAATATACTAGCCAGAAAAATCTGACAGCGAAATATAGACAGATATGCGAGAGATATTGTTAAAGAATTCGTGAAGACCAGTTTTCTACGCATCGAAGGTCACTGGTCATTTCCAATCCAGTCTAAAGTTGACAATCTTGCGTCATTCAGCATGATACATTCGACTGGTATATACTCGGATGAAATTTGTCAACCAACTGAGCACGTGAGCGAATGTTTCACAGCATGGCCACGACAAAGTGATCAAATTTTATATGTACACTCAATAGATCTTAGTGCTCATTCCGCGTACTGACGACTTTCGTGGTACATTAGTTGACGAGGGTCGAACTCAACTCCTGAGGCGCTGAGGGGGTCATCGGTCTGATGTGCAGATGAAGACTGATAACAGTGCATTGGTCTGATGAACAATGAAATTTTAAAATTCTGAGACTTTGGTTAGACTCAAATTTCATATATCTATATCTATCTTGAAATTTGGAATTTTTTGAGACTATATTTATGAGGAATAATAGAGGAACCGAATTCCATCTTGTGGACAAAAGTGTGCATGGTTGATATATTTCTTATACATGAACTTAGTACGTCAGGGTATAACGTACTAAGTACATGTTTTCACATGTCGGAAGCACACGCAAGTTTGCATAAGGACGGGGTTCCTGTTGGAATTGGGATCCAAAAGAAACTTGGGCTGTAAATACTTGGTTATGATTTGCTATTTATTTTAATGCTCGAATGATTAAAGGTTGGCAAGTTGAAAATGCGTTTCTTGGTACATTCTTGGGAACCACAAATTTTACTTACAAGCTAGCAATTACTTGTATACTTTGAATATTCGAGACTAGATGTTTATCCAAAACAAAAGTAATAGCTTGTGTAACTCAAGTGAAAATCAAAAGGTATATGAATTGCATATGTATTTGAATATTTGAATTGCATATGTATTTTACATATCCACCATATGCAGAATTCCACTAGTAGTTTATGCTTGAAAATTAGTAAAGGAGAAAAATTCTATGCAAAATATTTGCAAGTCAATTGTACTGATTGAAAGTATCCTTATAATAAAATATATTTTAGGATATCTTCATAAATGATAAAATAAGTTAATTATTTTCTTAGAAAAATGATTAAACTTTGTCACTTCTTCCTTTTTTTAAAAAGATAATAAAGGAATAAAAGTCTGTTCTGCAAGAAATTTCATGAACTTGTTGCTTTGCGAAGTACGTTGTAAAGTCTACACATTTAAGGGTTCTACGTAATAGATTTAATTTGTCAAATTATTGTATAACTTATTTATCAAAATAAAAGGAAAATATGCATGATAATGATTTGGATGATGTTATTTATGCATGTTTCATAATGCATTATTTTATCCGTATGTTACAAGATGTTTCTTTATCATGTCTAGCAACTGGTTTCCAGTTGGTTTATTTTTGGGTGTGCATTTACTTCACATGGCTTGACGTACATTCCACTAGGCAGCACGTTTAGTTAGTGGAACAAGGACGAAAACCCAAAGTAAAACATGAAAAATGCTGCCAACTTTTTTCTCGCGCACTTTCTGACTCGCACTTGTTTTGTTTCAACATCGCTAGAGAGATGTTGACGTAGCAGCAAATTTAGTTGCCCATCTGATGTTCGACAGCGCAGGTCGTAGAGTTAATGGATTTGCCAAATATTGTCTTCGCCAATTCTTGTCTTCGTTGATCGAAATTTCAATCTCTTCACTGTTTCCATTCTGCTTTTGGGCATTGTAACTTCTCCAGAGAATTGTCTAATATTCTACATCTATACCTTAAAATGCCATGATTTCCTTTGGCAACATTGCCATGATATGGTAGTCGAACATTCGATGACCAAAAGTTCTCGAATTTCCTATGATGCCCGTTCGGCCTGATGGATCGGGCTGTGAATGTTTCAGTTACGCACCAACCGAGATGAATTCGGTTCGAATGGATTGCTGCGCTGAAATTTGAAATAAGCATTTAGAACTCAACCGTTGAAGGTTTCGCGGGAATTCGAAATTTTCGTGCCCATGAGCCAGCCGAGCAGACTCTTCAGCCTTCGGGCATTCAACCTCAGGGACATTTCAGACGATCACGTACACGGCGTCTGAGTTCAGACCGGAACAAACTCTTAATTCTGACAGCATCGATACTCATGCCACCGAGTGATCATGGAAGACTCAATGTCTTGAGTGCGTAACAAACGCTCCATCGGTTGTGCGTCAGTCGGTGGAGACAGTGATAGTGTTCCTGAGGCTGAGGCTGATCGGTGGTTCTGTACACGGCGGCACCTGCTGCGTCCGAGGAAGTATTTGATGAATCGAAGCGACCTCGAATTTCATGTCGCGAGGAGGCGGATGGATGTGGACTGTTACCTGGCAGCGAGGCACCTCTTCCGTATGTGAGCAGCTATTACTCTGAATCTAGGCTGGATTTCGATGTCACGAATAGAGGTACGTGGCTTGTCCACAGAGTCTACCAGCAGTTAATTGGGACTCGGATAGTTGACGATCCACAACTGTTAGGTGACTACAGCCTATGTGGACAAGTCAACACCTGACTGATACGGAAGTGCCACAATCTGTCACAGCTTCGAGCAAGATTAAAAATCTTGCTCGAGGCATACGCTTCTAACCTAATCGATGGCGAGGTGGATCGCCGTCATCCCATCTAATGAATGAATCGAGCTCGAGACGTTTGTCGGCATCCAACTACTAGTGAGGGTCGAGAGGTGAGTCGACGCTCAACTATCGAGCAATTACTGAGCTGCTGATTCGCGTGAGGTCACGCCCACAACATGTACTGATTGTACGGTAATTCCCATTAAAGAGCTAATCGTATCATAGCGAGGAAACGTGTCTGGCCCGGGCCGTGTCGATCCGTGGAACGAAATGGTGCGATAGATCTCGCAGGACCAGAGCTTCCTCAGGGTGGGTCCGTGCTCATGTCCATGGCAATGTCAATGTCCGGCCCCGGAACCTGAACCCGCGTTCCTTTGTCAACATTGGACAATCGTGCTTCCGGACCAGAGATTTCAGCCAGCCCGGCCGCCCGGCCCGGCCCGGCCCTGCCCGGTCGGCGAGACCGGCCCGGCGGGTCACCGCAGTTTTATCTTCTGCTTCGGTGCAGCACGGCCCGTGGTCATGTCGAGCGCAAAGGCCTCCAAGGAAATGGCAGCGGAGGGGGAGCGAATCAGAATTGACGACAGAAAGAGCTATTGAAAGTTTGTCGGTGCGCGCCGAATTTGGCACGGGAGGAAGAAAGTAGCCTTGACTAAATAAAAGGGGGAGCGGAACAGACTAGATGGGGACAGGTGAGGAGAATGGATGGGGGCAGTAGGGTTGTCACGACTTACCGGGAGGAGAAAGTTAGCGGCAGGGCCAGATTGGAGGTGGGTAAAGTTGGAGGCGCCTGGAGGTCGCATCAAGAAGGTGGAAGTGCAGCGGAGTGGAGTGGGCGGGCGAGTGGAGCGGAGCGCAAGGAAGGAACGAGGGAGGGGAAGGCAAGACAGGACTGCGACGATCTCGGTCCGGCGAATTCCTGGAGCGATGGCATGTGAAAAAGCAGGCGAGTCAAAAAGCGTGGCGGAGTGGAAGGAGAGGAGGGGGTGAGTCGGGTGGGGTTGAATCTGATGCGCGCGGGAGGGGACGACAGTCGGTCTGCTTGCAGTGCGCGTAGTGGCATCATCGGAACATAAAAGCGCCATCGTGTGGAAGGCACAAATTTCCACGGCAACTCCGGCAGCTGATGGTGCAAGCAATCCGATGATCGCGTCATAATGGTGCCGTTTTCCCCACCTTCAAACTGCCCTGAGCTATGCTCGCCCCTGCTGCTTTCATTGGCGCGGCCTCGCTCTTGCTTATGCCAATTCGCTGCGTTTGTGTGAGATCTTTTGGGCCACTGTACCGACGAGCCGAGAGACCGAGAGAGGGGCAGTAGCACATCTGGGGTAGTCGTTCGCTCTGGTACTATTTCGCGAGGCTGGCTATTGCAAGCGGAACTCCGGGGAAAAGGTTGGTGGTTGACTCGAGACGTTTTAGTTGTGGGAATCCGTGGACGAGGTCGATGGAGTGCGAGGGAAGGGAGCGGGGATAGGTGGGTGGTGAACTGAATAGGGTTTAAGAGCGATCCAGGTTAGAGCGAATATGTCTTTGTACCATCTGCCTTTGCTTTGTTGGCTGGAGTACATAGGCGTGGAGCGTTTGGCAGTTCTTTCGTTTTCTGGATAATTGAATTCAAAGACTCCTCATGAGCCTACTCTGTCACTGTTGAAGGCCAATGAACTTGTGTGAAGCAACTGAAATCAATAAATGTTTTGAAGCATCAGGAGTCAGCAGATTCTTTTCCTTTAGCTGTGACTGAGGTTAGGCTGGAGAGCGGGAGCTCTGCATGAGGAATCGTTAACGCCTCATGAAGCAGATCTGAATGGAGACTACATGTGGATCGTCCTACACATGCAGGAAGAACTGTGAAATCTATTCGAATTTGATGTCACCCTGAGCAGATATACTTTTTGGTGTGGATCATCGTCACCCATCAAATTACAAATTTCCTGTAATTTATTGTTAAGGGTAATCGGCAGATGTTTAGAAGTGTCTTGGAGGATCAATGGTGCCGCAACCTGGTCATGGAGTGCCTGGATATATAATTCCCAGGAAGCGAGTAGGAGCAGGTGGTGGTGGCATGTGGATCCTGTCACACGGGATCGACGTGACACTACCGGAAGATCCAAGTATGTGTAAGAACACAGGAGCAAGAGATTTTGAAACTCCAGCTGCCTCCTATTCCAACTTGGATGTAATGTGCAATAATGGATTAGAATCTTTTACAACAGGGGATGTCGACAAAAAGTCACCATTGAGTGGAGGCAAAGAGCCTAAAGCTTTTGAAGAAGAGGACACAGAAGGTGACCTCGATCAGATGATTGAGGTGAACATGAAGGAACTTTCACCTCCCGAAGATCCTCCAGAGGATCCCTATGTGCAAGATCCAATTTTACTTGAGGAATATGGCATTGAGGATGAGAGTCTGCATCCGAATTTATGTATGCGTCAGGATGGGGATGTGCTCGTGGGAGGGGTGGAAAATGCGTATGATGATGACGAGCTGGATGGTGAGGAGGAGGAAACTTCTCCTGCAGTGGATGTGAAATCTGTTACTTTACCTGGAGATGAAGATGAGCCGGACATGGGATTTGAGGAAATGTATTCTCTTCTGGTCAGTTTGTCTTCGCATTTTTTCCACGTGTAAATAATTTACAGACGGTAGGAATGAAAAATTGATTCAAGTGAAGAAATTGTAGATGTGTTTGAACGAGCGTTGGAACACATACTAGAATTTCCGACAACAGTATTAACTCTTGGAAGTGTTAGCTATGATTCCGTGTAAGTGAGGTCTACCACTCAAGGACGGAATTCGATTTATATGATTGATTCTTTTCAATCATGAGGTACTCCAAACCAAAGCTAGGAGATGCTTTCATTTCACTGTCTTTCCCATGCCTGATTGTTTATGTCTGGCATGATTTGTTTTCGGAGCAGGAGCGTCCGATGGACCAAGACTCTGCAGAAATATCCACGAATACGATGGATGACATCGATATTACAGTTCAAGGAGCTTCCGGAGAGGCAATGGATTTGCATGAGGGGAGTGTTAGTGATGGTCTGTCGTTGTTTTTGTCTCCTTACAACGAAGCTGCCACCAAGTTCGTTGCGGAATCACCAATTCAGGGAACCAATGAGATTGAGTTCCTCTTTCTTCCATCTTCTGCTCAGGAGGCTTTGCAGTCAGGAACCGGGCCGCCTGTCCGACCAACAAATGAGCAAGACTTCCTGTCACTCTCTTCATCTGCACAAGAGTCTTCCCAGGGAGCCTCGGAGAGTTTCTTTAGACAGTCAGAGAACGATTCTTATCTCTTGCTGTCTTCACCTGACGAAGGGTCTTGGCATTCGACTCCAAATAAACTCTTCAACGGTAAGAATCTTTTCCCACTTCTCTGGCGTGATGTGTATAAGCCCATCCAGAAATAGGTTCCTTTTTCTTTTGTAAGAAAGGGCCAAAGTAAGTTACCCATGTTCATCTTACTCGTCGATCTGAAATTTCTAAGTCAGCTTACCCTTGGTACGCGCTCAAAAACCCTGAAAGCGGGGCAGGTTTTCCTGCATCGCTGTGAAGCCCTCGTACCATCAGTGATCCTATGTTTCCAAGCAGGCTAGATGTCTACACTGCGAGTTGCGTTTTTACTTATGGGGCTGGACCATATCTATGTGACTGCCTCTTTTATAACTCTGTGTTGTCTCATAGAAAGTGAAGGATGTGAGGTAAGATTGTGATGATCCTTTATTTTCAAGCAAGCTAGATGTCCACACTGCGAGTTACGATTTCACTTATGGGACTGGATCATATCTATGTGACTGCCTCTTGTACAAAACTGTGTTGTCTCAGAGGAAGTGAAGGATGTGAGGTAAGATTGTGATGAGGGACTGGAACTTATTATGAGACTGCGATGAACTGTTGTCCAATAAAATGTGATGAGTGGGTCCGGAACGAGACCCCTAGTAACTGCTGCGAAGTAGGTTTTTCTCTCAACGAACAACTGCGAGATGTAAAATGTGACAAAGGGTGTCGGAAGGGGTGTTTTTGGTTGATTTTCTGCAGGCGACAGATACTGTGTGACCCCTGTGACTAAATTAGAAACGGAATGCACAAATGTCACCCGTGTGGAGAGCTGGAGATCAATGACATAGGAGACACAACACGCAGTCGTAATATTTTTTGTTAAGATTGAAGACCTTGTCCGTTGCTTTTTGGAAAAACGTCTTCGCATCATATAGATTTTACTCCATATTGTAGTCACTCTCTACAAGATCGTCGATTTATGCAGAGTTGGTTAGAGTAAACTTAGCGTGAGAGACGTAGTCTTAACAGAAACTAGTAAGTTGATGCTATCTGGAGTTTTTTCTGAGTCTGAACTATCTCCCTTTTCGAATGAATAATTGTTGTGAACAAGGAATATCTGTTTTTTCAGGTTTTGTAGCAATTCATCAAGTTCTGTTATGTCATCGAGGACATGGTTGCAACGCCAAGCCACAATAGCTGAATAGACTTTCATGAACGAATCTACTCGCTGAGAAACTTGCAAAGAGATATTTACTTCACCACTTTTTACTTGAACTTCTGGAGTTTTCCCCACCTATCGGTCCGAAATGTCTACTTGGGAAAAGTATGACCATGGTTCTGATTAATATGTGAATATATCAAGAAATCATACTTTAACGAGTGGATTATCTTTCTTTAAGCGACGCAAATTTTTTTTTGATCTGGTCTCTCTTTCTCAAATACCAAATGACAAAGCTTACACACCTCACATTTTAGCGGAATGATGCGTAGTGAGTTTTTATGCCAACCAATCCTGTTGAATCACCGATACATGTCATATCATATATATAAATATCATGTATATACTGATAAAATTAACAAGAGATACTTCAAGTAAAGTTTTGTGAAAGACTTTGGAAGACTCACCCTCCATTACTGATCATTTTTCTTGCTACTACTGATTAAAGTCCCGGATATAAATGTTCGGCAATTACGTTGGTACCATGAACACATGTTTTTTGCAGTATCTTGAACGTATTGTCCGTATGGAAGCGCAAAGAGTAACTTGTTGTTTAGGGGTAACTGATGATTTTGTTACAGGAAAGTATTGAAAAATTTTGTGGGTAGTAGTTTTACGAGCAATATTCTCCCGTTTCGTACACGCCACATTAGTTATGTGGACGTGTATTTCAAGTCTCAACCCACACTTGTGGTACCCAACCTTATGTCGATCTCTATGAAGATTACGTAGAATCCAGGTTTGATGATTTAGTCCTCTTTTGTTCGGGAATTGGTGCGGTAGAAAATTGGGTTAGACGTGCGCTCTCCTATATCATTATGAGTCTGCCTTGACGGTATTAACTTCTTAAAGTTTTATTATAGTGTTTCCGAAGGCCAATGTCTTTTGCTTATTTCAGGTTTTAGTTTTTCTTAAACTTGTCTCTTGATGGACTCATCTAATATATGTTTTTTTACTTGCAATCCACTTATTGAAATTGTTTTTTTTTTAATTTGATGATGTACTAAAAGTATATGTGGAGCGGCTGGGGAAATGAATATTTGTAAAGCGTTTGTATGGCCCAATTTAATGTTCTTTTTTGAATTTAACCTTCAAATAGATGACGCGCAAGGGAGTATTTCTTTGACAATTACGTTCACAGCGCGGTAGTGCAACCTTAACCTTCACCCTACAACTCATTCATTCCGTGACTTCGGTCATATTTTGACAGTAATATTGTATCCAAGTAGTCATGGCTGGACATGATATTCCGTTTATGAAACCTATGTTATAGCACATATCCAAGTGGAGCATCAGGTGTTGTGATAAAGATTATTTGTCATTTAGTTTTGTAGAAGAGAATTGAGCGCACTATAGTGCTTAGAGCTTCAGCCCTTTTGTGTAAACACGTTGCTCTAAGCGCAAATATGAGTCGATGATCACTCGTATATCATCTTAGCCACACGTGCACAACAAGCGACTACATGTTCCTGGAAAGCAAGGAGTATGACACTCAAACCATGCTGTCAGTCAGCAAGTTGTACGACCTACCTCACCAGTGAAGGACTTCGTGTCTAGGGCGGAACTTTTCTGTTTAAAGACCAATCTACCTCACCTGCCCTCATACTTCGAGCTGAACTCAGTCATTCTGACAACTCAACGAGGAAGTGAATATCGAGGTGGGATAACGACCGATAACCAAATAACTTTACTGTCACTCTCTTGAAGTACTAGTAGCACGTTATAAGTAGGATTCTACTTCTGACAGAGCAGGTGATAGGAGCCAACCATTAATATCGGAGCCTACTGTATCATCCCGATGCATATCAGTGAAGAGGTAATTGAGTATAGTCTAAATAAACTCTCTAAGAATTCATCTTTTACGTTCGTGACTCCTTCAATTCGGAGCACCTTTGGGCTAGGGAACTCTCTATTTAAGATCATTCGAATTCATTTGTTATTACTTCTCAGCAGTCGAATTGGTTTCTCTAGTTGTGTCTTGGTGCAGTCAATAAGGACCATGTTATGCTTGAAAGGACCCTTGCTATACAGCTTTGAATACCTTAATGACGGAGCACCTTTGGGCTGGGGAACTCTCTATTCAAGATCATTCAAATTCATTTGTTATTACTTCTCTGCAGTCGAATTGGTTTCTTTAGGTGTGTCTTGGTGCAGTCAATAAGGACTATGTTGTGCTTGAAAGGACCCTTGCCATACAGCATTGAACTCCTTAAATACGGAGAACCTTTGGGCAGGGAAATTCTGTATTTAAGATAATTCTAATTTATTTGTTATTACTTCTCTCCAGTCGAATTGGTTTCTCTAGTTGTGTCTGGGTGCAGTCAATAAGGACTATGTTGTGCTTGAAAGAAAGGACCCTTGCTATACAGCTTTGAACGTGTTGATATGCGTGATCTTGAGAGTCTTTTGGGAAGATTGTGCCTGCCAAGTCTCAGTCGTGCGTTGAGTTCGGACTTCCCTAACTTCCCAGTAATGATTCATCATAATTCGAAAACATCGAAACAATGGTTGAAGCACCTCCCATCCCTTTTGGGGGTTGGGTATTATTATCAGCTTACGAGTCTTAGTTACAACTTGAGCAGATGAGGCTTGGATGAGGTTGGAATGCTGGAGGTCTGTCGGCAGTCACTTGCTTTTGCTTCACATTCTCCTCTGGGTTTCGTTGTCTCTGTTCTGCGACTAAATGTTTTACTTATTGTCACGTTCTTCTTCTCTGTAGGATCAATAGTGTCGTCTTCCCCATTTGATGTCTGGAACTTATTTCCCTTTATTGTGGCAATGTGGTTTTGCTTACAACGTGTTTGTTGCACCAAAGGTTGCTGACCATGCTTTTGAAAGTTTTGCAGGATACGAAGGCGTCACAAGTCCAACGAGACCTAACGAACGTAGTTTCAAGAATCCTTCTTATGAAGTGGTGGCATCAGACACGTTTAATTCTATGGGACTTTCTCAATCTGTGGGGTCGAGTTCTCAAATCGATCATGAAAGGCCTATACAAACTTACGGTTCTGTCCTCGCTTCATCTACAAAGTTTCCTGGCACCATAGCTGCTCTTGAAGGATCAAGTATGTTATGTCCCACCAGTAGAAGCACTGGCAGGTTCAACAAAGCAGCTTCTGTACCGAGTTCCTACGTCGATCTCACGGAGGATAGTGACGAAGACGATGTTGTCGAATTTTCAAATTCTTCTACTCATGCAGGCGTTCTAGGAAAACGAAGGCCAGAAGATATTTATGAAATTGAGAGAAGGAAAAGACTGGCCACTGCTGGGAGCTCTGAACCTTGGATAGAGAATAGATCTAGACCAAAGAGTATGGGATCAGTGTACGCTGAGGATTGGAGACAACCTTTTCAGAAGGATCTCAAGATCAGGCATATGCATTCGTTTGGAGTTGTAGATCCGCGTCCTTTACATTGGGACATTCCTCCCGGCCCTTCGTACTATCCGCAAGATAGTTCTTCATTGATTTCGAGTTTCAATTCTAACATGGTTGGAGGCAGGAATGTTCACTTTTCAGATAGGGGAGGTTCTGGGCATGGGAACTTATCTTTTGATGTGGACCACAAGAGACAATCTTTTGGTCAGTCAGTCACAATCCTTCATTCCAGCCAGGGAGGATTGCTGAATAATCATTTTGCTGTTCCTCGGGAGGAGAAAGCTGGGAAGGCTTTGAAAGCTGTGTTGCAACAGGTATTTTATTCGTGATTCGGTCCTGAGCTAATTACGTTTTCATGAACCGAATAGAAACTTGGATGGATGACAGAAACATCTAATAAACTCATCTTGTCGAACAATTTTGCAGACAGCAATGGTTGATAACAACAAGGAAACCACTCCAGAACCCGGTCTTCTTTCTGTACAACTTTTAAAACACCAGGTATGACCTGTGGAATGCACACCACTGTCAATATTTGAACGTTTCAGGATGGGAGTCATCACTTTTCAGGAATTTTGGCGACTGACCATCGATCAGCCTCTTAGAGAAACTTAGAGCCAAATAAGCACAATCATCAGTTTATATATGATGATCGAGGATAGTCATCAAATAATCATTCTAACACCATCCTCGTTTCCAATGATATCTGTGAATAGATTGTCTGTCTTTTCTAGTTAGTGATATCTTCAGGTTTTGGATGCTACTGTCTTCAGCAGTTAAAGATGATAATTCCAATTGATATTATCAAGCTATCAGCTTGTTTCAGTTTTTTTTCAGCTTTGTTTCTGGGTTCCTGATTGTATAAGCACGGTTCATGTGTATTGAGCACAGTATCCTGGGGTTACCTTCTTTGAAAAAAACGTGCACAGGAGGGATACAAGTATCTGTCATCGCTAGTCATCCTGGTTATACTATTATCTAGATTAAATTATCTAGTTACATTCCTGCATAGGTTCGAATGACCAATTCGTTTCCTACCAAGAAGCGACAATTTGTTTAGCATACACGTATCACCATGATGGCTAGCGCAGAGATAATGGATCGATATCCCTCCTGTGTGCATGTTACCCACAAAGAACGTAACTTCAAGATACTCAATGTCTAGTTTCTAAATGTTTCCGATCTTGGTATTCTCAAACTAACAGTTTTTCTTACTTTTTTCTTCTTCTTGTTTCTGTCGGGTTGCTAATTGTTTCTTATTGTTATGTGACAATTGCTTTCTTATGTGGTTGATCCTTATCGTTCCTGGTGAAGTTCTTCTCGAGCTATGTTCCTTCCGTGTTCTGTAGTCCTTCCTCATGTTGCAGGCACAAATGTCCTCACCTCTTGTTCCTGTCTACGCATGGGTAGATAACTTTGAATGTGCGAAAAGTATCTACCCGTCAGCTACGTTTAACACACACTTGCCCTTTCCACGTGTTGGCCTGATCTTCTTAATTACCGGAAATGGTCTACAAGTAATGGGTGCATCGACGGTACAGGATCAGTTCATTGCCCCGTTGTACCTGGTTTCGCTACTGGAGAGTAGATCATTGGCATTTGGTTTTTACTTGTCACGATATCTATGCGATTTTTGTGATGATTGTTTTGCTTCTAATGTGCTAAGCCAGAGAATAGCCTTGAACTGGATGGAGGAGCGAGAAGCCAAGAAGGGTCTGCCTTACGGTGGAATTTTGGCTGACGATCAGGTAAATGAAAAGGTGTTGTCGTATTATGTGTTTGTTCGACGCGAGCACCACATGTGACATCTAGAATCCACGCTCCTCGTAAGAAATTGTTAAACAAGGTCAAGTAGTGCTGGGTTCTCGATTCATCTATCGAGTACAAAAGTTATTAAAGAGGAAATGTAGATTTTATCCGCGTTATTTGTGGCCATTGGGAGGAAGGTACAAATGATGAATTGTTGTAGTCATTTATTTTTGAAAAGGTTGATAGGTCAGATAAATTGTGCTTAACTCTGCGTGGCTCCTAATCAGGGACTGGGCAAGACAATTTCAACCATCTCGCTTATTCTCAAGGCAAGGGCACCACTTAAGAAAGCTGCGGAAGCATCGGGTTCTCCACCGCTTGAATCTGCTACGGTTGATTTAGATGACGATGATGACGTCCATACGCTTGGAGGGAGTTCAGTAAATTCATCAACTGCCGGTGAGAAGAATGACACCAACTTGCACTTGAATGAGGGCACCCTAGAGAAAGCAATGAAGCCGGGAGGTAAAAAGGCTCAGGAAGAAGTTAAGCACACTGGTAGCAAGGGTAGGCCAGCTGCCGGAACACTTGTGGTATGCCCCACTAGTGTTTTAAGACAGTGGGGACATGAGCTCAAGGAGAAGGTTACTCAACTAGCTGACTTGTCGGTATTAGTGTATCATGGTAGCAATAGGACGAAAGATCCCGAAGAACTTGCTAAGTATGATGTTGTCTTAACGACATATTCTATCGTTAGTATGGAAGTCCCGAAACAGCCTTTGCCAGACGAGAGGGATCTTGATAAGAAGAACCCGAGCGACTTTGATGTACCTCCCCCTTTTCGTACTTCTAAACCCAAGAAGCCCAAGAAGACTACTGATAATGGCAAGAAGGGAAGGAGCAATGGCAAGGGAAGGCTTGTTGAGGGTGAAAATGGGTCCGTTGACTCGGGTCCTCTTGCCAGAGTAAATTGGTTCAGAGTTGTCTTGGATGAAGCTCAAAGTATAAAGAATGCGAGGACTCAGGTCGCACGAGCTGCTTGGGGTTTAAGGGCCAAAAGGAGATGGTGTCTGAGTGGAACTCCTATACAGAACGCCGTCGATGACCTCTACAGTTATTTTCGCTTCTTGAGATACGCCCCGTATGACGGATACAAAACCTTTCGTGAGAAAATCAAGGATCCAGTCACTCGGACTCCTGCAGAGGGATACAAGGCGTTACAGAGTTTACTATCGGCTGTCATGTTGAGGCGAACGAAAGGTAAGTCCTGTCCGTTTCTCTTAAGTTGTTCTTCATGCGCATGGAAGATGCGGGATTCTGTCGCAATTTCAATATCAGGATACTGTTCCAACAGTGTCTGCTACTTGATGTGACAGTGCTAATTTTCTACATTTAAACTGCCCATACTTGTGTGATCCATTTACTTGATCTGCGAGCAATACTAGTACATTTTTAAAAACACATTTCCACAAATGCTGGCCATTTGAAGCCTAGACTGGAAATGCGGTTGAGGCATGTCTATCAAATAAGGTTTTTAGTTCTTATCCAGGAGATTTTCAAGCCCTTCGGCCCTTCACTCTTCTTCCTTCGTTTTGTCGGACAAAACAAAGCTCGCATCACGAATAGGTCATAATTATGTCTTATTGAAGCTTACTACGCTCATCATGCCGGAGTGAAATTACGCGATTTTTATGACATTCGACGAGAAACCAAGGTTTCTCGTCGGACAAGTGCAAGCGACGGTGTATATGTTTTCTGTTAATCTATAGTGCCTCTCCTTGAACTCTCTTTATTTTTTGGTGAGTATCTATCTTGGATTAGTAGTTTATTCTTGCTACACCTCGTGATTTCTGCACAGACACACTTATAGACGGAAAGCCCATCGTCAATCTACCTGAAAGAATTGTGACACTGAAGCAAACGGAGTTCAGTGAAGAGGAGAGAGCGTTCTACACGAATCTTGAGACCGAATCAAGGAAGCAATTTCAGGTATCATTCACGTCGATATTTGGAATCTTGTTTAGTCAATCTTGACTGTTGGTGGTCAGGGCATCTTGATGCAATGGAGTTTGACGTTCACGAACGTACAAAATATTTATTGAACAATATCTTGAGGAACACTGAAACCACTGAAAGAAGTCGCGTTGGATTTGTCTGGAGGGAATATTGGGTCTGAAATTAATGCTTTTTGCAATCCCTCTATTTGCTGAAACTATTCTTTTCTATTCTTTGCTGTTACTTGTAGAGTGATTACTGTGTCAATTTCCGTCCTTTGTTTTCTTGTTATACGTAGCAAATTTATGACTGCAGATATCTTTTTTGTATATCAGAATTGTATATCTATGTAATTTCTCACGGGTTTTTTCTTTACATTTATGAGAACGCTATTTCCGAAGTCTATACTGAGTATAAGTTCAACACTCTACAAAAAATATCTATTGAAATTCCGTACACATTTCTCTTGCTTGTAACTGTTCTGTTGAATCCCTTCTGAACTATCAGAACAAGAGAAATCATGTGGACACTCATTCTATAAGCAAGGTAGATTGTCGACTGTGAGATCATTCCAGTAATTTTACAGGTCAAATGAGTTTCTCATGCTCAGTCCCACTTTCGCGACTCATGTTTCGCTCCGTGTTCTCGTGAAAGTGAGGTTTTCACAGTTTTTTACACAACCATTTTGCCAAGATCGTATAGAAGACATGTCGCTTATACTGTCTCTGCGTTGGTCAGCTCGACTTCATTGCATACCTCTTGAAACATGTTAAAGCACCGAGTCCTGAGTATTGGAACGGCAGTTTTTGATTCAACTTATGTCGTATTTCGAGCTTTGCTATCCCTTGTGAATGGCATTGTCTGGTATGACAAGCCCCCTGTCCTAGTCGTATATGATGAGTATTCGCCATAAAACGTCGTGTTTTTACGGTAGTCATCTTGACCATACCACATCGTACTTCCAAGTCTGATGCTTAGTTATTCATTGCTGACTCTGAATGAGGAGTTACCATCATAAACGTCATAATCATCTCTCACTGGACACTTTGGTTGAACGCAGGATTATGCAGAAGCGGGTACTTTGCAAAGCAATTACGTCAACATTTTGTGGATGCTTCTCCGACTTCGTCAAGCTTGTGATCACCCGCTTCTTGTCAAGGGGCACAAGACCCAAGGTGCTCAAAAGGTTGTCATGGAATCGGCCCGTGCTCTTCCACCAGAGAAACGCGTACAACTCCTCAATCTTCTGGAAAGCAACAGAGCGATATGTCCAATTTGCAATGTAATGACCATTTTCTCAAAGAGCGTCTGGTTCCGTCTATGTGTGGTTTTTTCCATAAAAACTTGTCCGGGGGTATGGCCAGATATGAATGTTTTGTTTCCTTATAAGACTGACGGCAATTCCTTGACGTTGGCTTAGTTGGTTTCTTGAAGTCCGTTAACGAATATAACGCGTGGGGCGTGAGGTCTTCGTGCCTCGGGCTACTGCTTGCAGATATTTAAGACTAGTCTTTGTATAGCACCAATGAAAAGAGCTTTGGTTGACGCTGTGATGGGCATTATGTCAGTACAAGGGATGCAAAAGATTGGATCCTCATGCTAGCCCAACTGTCTGATCTTGCAGGATCTTCCCGACGAGGCGGTTGTGTGTATATGCACGCACATTTTTTGTAGGCAGTGTATCTCGGAACAGTTGGCTACTGGCGATGATAACTGCTGTCCAATCCCAAAATGCAGGAAAGCATTGAATTTGTCCCTGGTGTTCACTTTAGCATCCTTAAAGAGCTGTGACGTGGATGACGGTAATAGCACCACAAACTCTCTGATTGTTGAAGGAACATCAGAAGACTGCCACAATCTTGAAGAAACAGGCTGGAAAACCTCCTCCAAGATCAATGCTGTGATTGACACTCTGAGTTCTCTCCCTAAAATCACCGTTGTTGTAGAGAATGGCAAGGTTGTGGCAGAAGTAAGCAAAGATCTCGAAGATGTAAAACTTGTAGATACTTCAAATGTTAGATTAGCAAACCTTCAGCCGGCTTTCTCTGAAATTGTTCCCTCGACAGAAGTCAAGAATCTAAAAACCGATGTCAAGGTAGAAAACGTTCCATGCTCTTCGGGAAGTAGAGAGATATCGGATACGTCAACCGAACAGATGCTGGAAGACAACGCGGGAGTCAAGGTGGAAGTTATTACAACAGACCCCGTTAACTGTAAAGATTTAGTCACCAGAGTTTTTGTTCAGTCGACAGAGAAAGCCATAGTGTTTTCACAATGGACAAGTATGCTGGATTTGCTGGAAGTTAGCTTGAAGCAAGCCAAGTTCAATTACAGGAGGCTTGACGGTACTATGTCTGTTTTGGCTCGAGATCGGGCGGTCGCTGAGTTCAAGACTTTGCCTGAGGTACGTTTCCCCCACAACGCGATGCCTGCATTTGTATCGATTACTTTCGATTATCAAATTCGAGTTCTGTGCAATTCAGATGTAATCTTCCATATCCTTCCTGAATTTTTTTAATCAATTACTGAATATGCTACTCCAATTAGCATACGCTTTAAATGAAGGTGAGTTTATTAAAGCTTCACTCCATAAAATTGTTTACGGGCTTTACCCACGCGCAAGTTATCAGCTCAAATTGAGAAAGAGATAATCCACCTTATTGTGCAGGCTTGAATGGGAGTGTGGGATAAGCGACATGCAGCATCTACTTACTCTTCATGCTATGTTTTTTTCACAGGTTACGGTGATCATAATGTCGTTGAAGGCGGCGAGCTTGGGCTTGAATATGGTCGCTGCCTGCCATGTTCTATTGTTGGACGTCTGGTGGAACCCGACCACGGAAGATCAAGCTATCGATCGAGCTCATCGTATTGGGCAAACGCGGACTGTCCGGGTTTCTCGTTTCACTGTCAGGAATACAATCGAAGACCGTATTTTGGCTTTGCAGGTACAATTTTTGATTAGCTTTTTCCTACCTTTCAGTTCCTATCAACCTATATGCGTCATGGAAAGCTCCTTGGCTTTCTCTTACGTATGGGTGGTTGGTCTTCTTGTATCTGGGATGCCTTGATGTAGCTTTGACTCTTAACTTGGAACCTGAAATTTTGGTTATTGTTTACTCCTTTATTGGGTTGTAACCTTCGTGTAGCCATCGTGAAGATTCAAAGTGCTTTCTCTGTGAAAGTTATGTGATGACAGAGCGTTCCTCAAAGGCCACAGTACTGAATGCTTCTCTCTTCTTTTCATTGGCTTTTACTGAGAGCAGAAGTTATCATGAATGGTAGTGATCATGAAAAAATAGTTAGAGGTAGTAAGGGCCTCCTGGAAATTGTCTGCCTTCTCTTTGGTTCATTTATCCATTTATCTCGTATAGAATACATCTGTTCTATCGCGCCAAGGCTTCTGGTGCATGAAATTCATTCATGGACGAACTGAAACTCTGTTAGGTGATGAATCATGATAAAAGTCGTGGCTGACCATGGCGTGACTCTCGCATTAGCAATTTGCTTTCATTGTTTAGTTATGAATTCTGATTGGGTAAGTAACCCTGGATAAGGATTTCGATGTTTTCGAAGTTCTTTGTCATTATTAACATAGTTTCTTCTCTTTTCAATACCTGTTACTTCGCAGGAGCGAAAGCGGCAGATTGTTGCATCAGCATTTGGTGACGGCGAAGCTGGAGGACAGAAAACCACTAGACTCTCTGCTGCAGATCTTGAATATCTTTTCCATATATGAGTTATTTTTCGGTGTTACACGCGCATCGATTGACATACCAGAGTTACTTGTGCCCATAATTTTGAATCTTCACAGGTGGACTTGGGAGGCAGAAGTTTTGTTGGTCCCTCCCCACCCCTAGTCCGATGGGCAGGACCTGGAATAGCAAGTGATCAGCTCATGAAGGAATGAATTCTCAAGATCACGGCATACATTTTACGCAGGGGATCGAGGGTTAGGTCATGTACGGAAAAGCTTTGTGCTTGATGCGCAAGGCGATGCTGTAGCGTAGACAGTAGCAGCAACAATTTTTGTTGGAAGTTAGCCCTGTTTTCCAAAAGAAGATGGACCAGTGAAGGGATCTCAGTGGAAACTCTGTGATGTTGGAGGTTTCAGGGCTTTATGTGTTAAGAAGCTCTTCATGTTTTAAAGGAAAGGAGAACCACGATTTGAGCAAGCTGTACCTGTGTAGTCACTCTCTCACTTCCAAAGTGCGCTTAGTCGTTCCGCCGTTTTGTACTTTCACTTTTGCAAGTTTGTGTAATGCCTTCGGTGTACGTGACCATTGTTTGATGCTAATCATGAAAATGTCTGCAGAAACGGTGACAATACTGTGGGATAAATAAATTTGCAGGTCATTTGGCACCTTCTCGGATACCTATGTGGAGTAGAGGACGTAATTATGATCCTTTCTTACTAATTTTCGAAAGTGTAGATGGTATTCTCTCAGTTGGAATGAACCATCTGGCCCTCCCTACTAGAGAATCAGCAAGCTAGCGAACGAATGCCTTCGTACCTCAGTTGATATCATTTCCGAGAAGGCTCAAGAGATCCAGTTATATTGAAGGAGCAGCAACAAAGCAGCATTGTTGTTGGAATAGACTGAAATAATTTAAAAATCAGGACCAGCGAATGCTCAACACGAACTCTCCCTCATTCTGAGACCAGCACACGAAGATATGATGCTTATAGGTAGCTTATCTATAATTGGTTTCCCTTTTTAAACTGGATTTTATTCAAAAGACTTTCTGTTCTCTGGAGAAGTGGGCATGGCTGATCGTATTTGTAGCAAATTGCTCACTTGAAAGGGGTGCACTTATGGAGAGACAGTGGATCATACGAACTAGTCAATACAAGTCACACGTGAGGACAGGAGGAGAAAGGGGTGAATTTCTCTGTCGTATTTGCGAGTGATATCTTCTGTGGATGAATAGCACCGGATTCAGCTGGATTATCTCATCAGCGCAATACAGGACGTCGTCGGTTCTATCATATAACAAGGTAAAGTAAACATCTTTGATATGTTCACGCACATGCATTGAGTGGAACAGGTTATAACGTGTGCGAGAAAGAAGACAATGCCTGAGTGAAAACTCTGGCGTGCCAGTTATGTCGCCTTCGACTTCGTCAGACCCAGAAAGATGTCTCGAGTTTAGCAGACAACAAACTGCACGATGTAGGCAATCCAAAAAGAGCACCATCGTCGGAGTGTAGTGATGACTCGATTAAAAAACTCAAGCCCGGGACAAGTTCCACTCAAACTGTCGTGGAGGAATGTGCTTTGCTGGCTGGGCTTTAACCCAGTGACGGAAAAGAACTCGTAGCCTTCGGCTTGAGTGGCACTTTAGATGCGGATCTTTTCAGGTACCCGTACTAAGGGCCAGCCGGTCCTCAAGCGAGACAGCACGAAGAAATAGCGAAGTGGACTGCGTTCCATCAAACGATCAAAAGGTGCCGTCAGAGGGTCGTTTTCAGCTGAGCTTGGAGCTGCTTTTCAGTGACGACCGATCGAGGCGTGTCCGATTCAATGCATGTGACGCTTTACTCGGACCGAGCTCCCCCTTGGCTAACTGTTGCCCTTCTTTATCCGACAGCTAGAAGCATCCAGCTGGCAATCCTTGAACCTGCTGGATGGCCTCGCCTGAGGCACATAGCTCTCCATATTCCCATTTGAATGGAGAAAAGTTTATGCAATCGACTCGGCATGACCAACTTTCAAAGGATTTCAAAACCTTTTTTTGGGTAAGTGGAATAATAAGGCTTTTCAAAAGAATTATTCTTCGGCCACGTTGAGCCTATCTTAATGATAGATGGATTTATTGCCGACAATTTTCAAGAGGACTGCTCTATCAACCTCTGAAAATGGAGACCCTGTGTCTTAGTGAAGATATTTCTTTGATTCATTTCTATTTCATTACAGATACAATTTTCGACTGATTGACTTGATCAATACAATTTTGATTGATAAAATCAGTGAATAATTTTGTGTGTGCATGTTTAGTTTTAGAATAATAAAGATTGCCTTAATACAACTTGTTCTTAAAAGTCAATACCGTACTAACATTGAAGTTCCAGTTCTCATGAAGGATACTAACCTCAAGTATTAATTTTCAACATCATCGGTTTTGTACTTCAGTAACTTAGAAATTTGAGATGTAGTATTACACACTACATTTCAACACTGATGATTGTTCAAAGTATCAATAAAATCTTGGATGTACCTTTTCTTAGATTGAAACAAATCTAAACGAAATCTAGATAGTATTTTGAACAATTTCCAATATTGAAAATTATAATCTTGTTTATTTTATTTCCTCTATGAAAATTTTAATTTACATAGAGATGAATTTATTGAATTGAAATGATAAAGTTAATAATTAAATTAGTGTATAAATTATAATATTAATCAAGGAGTTGATTACCATTATTTAATCATTATCATATTTTTTATAAGAGTTTTTCTTGTAAAAAATTTAAATTAATTTTTTATAAGTTGTGTATAAGTATAATTATTTTTTCTTTCAATGACAAATAAATTAAATATTAAATTTCATATCATTAAAATTTTTATTATATATTTATATATGTTTATATCAATAAACTAAAATCATTTGATTGGATGAATTAATTATGAAAATGAATTAAATCAATCAATATTTTTAAGTTTTAAGTATCTAATGACATAGTGATATTTCAATATAGAAATAATTGACTTAACAAAAATCAAATAAATTAATAGCATGTAGTCATAAAATCTACATCATCAAGGTCAATGATATGTATAAAAAAAACTTCAATACATCTTAATGTTATATTTTTATTCATATTTTTATGATAATGTTTTAAGTTTTAAATACATCTTTCAAAAAAGTTGGAGAGATATATTTATGAAAATGGGTTATTTTTGAAAGACCCAAACATCGAGATCGATCAACACGCACGACAGTCACAACACCGAGATAACGTGATTTATCTTCCACAGGCTACGTCCACGGGCAAGAGCAGAAACTTCACTAAAGCTTCAATGTATACACGGACTCCATAGCCAAGCTCTACTCTTTACTGTTCACTGTCTCATTGCTATCCTAACCCGTGCGCAGAGAGAGTCCGCTTCTCTCTTCTATACAAGAAGAGATAAGGTAATCTAACCTAACCTAACCTAACCAAAGTTAACTTTCTAACCATGGTTATCACTAATTGGAGTTAATTCAAGATGGAATGAACCTAACAAACTTACCTTGACTCAAACATACCCAGTTGTTGATCTCCACCTATCCAAATCTCCTCCATAATCAACATCAACATACCCTCAACGCGAACTTGCATTGTTTGATTGTGCATCAAACAATATATAATCGAGTTTCAAGAGAACCCTTGATGTATCTCATAATCCACTTTACAGCTTCCCAATGCTCTCGTCCGAGATTTGACATGTACCTACTCACCTTCCCAACTGCATATGCTATATTAGGTCTAGTGCGTACCATAAGATACATAGTGCTGCCAACTGCACTTTCATAAGGAATAGAATACATCAACCCTTTAGCAGTTGCATCAGTTGAACATAAAGCTGCTGAAAGCTTAAAGTGTGCAGCTAATGAAGTACTTACAGCTTTAGCATTTGACATGTTAAACCTAGCAAGTAATTTCTCTGCATTTCGCGTTTGTGTCAACCAAAGTTTGCTTGATGACTAGTCCCTATGGATCTCCATGCCTAGTATATGCTTAGTATGACCTAAATCTTTCATATTAAACTCATAACTGAGCTGGACTTTGAGTTTAATAATATCAGACCTATTCTTAGCGGCAATAAACATATCATCTACATACAACACGAGTAATATCAAGCCAAAACTTGTGTTGCTAACACGCTTCATGTACACACAAGGTCATATGCACTTCGTATGAAGCCCTGCGTATGCATGAACTCATCAAAACGTTTGTTCCATTGTCGGGAACTTTGCTTAAGTCCATACAAGGATTTAAGCAACCGACAAACCAAACGTTTCTTTCTTCTCTTCAAAAAACCCTCCGGTTGTCTCATGTAAATCACTTCGTCCAATGCTCCTTGTAAAAAGGCTGTAACAACTGGTCGAGGAATAAACCAAATAATGTGACAAGTGCACACAACAAGCATATAGTTGAAAACTTAGCAACTGGTGAAAAAACCTCGATGTAGTCGATGCCCTTCCGCTGTTCAAAGCCCTTGGCCACCCATCTTGCCTTTCAGATTTTCTCAGCTACACCAATGGATCCATCCTTCACCGTGTAGACCCACTTGCAATCTATAGCTCGTTTTCCATTGGGCAACTCCACGAGTTCTCAAGTTTGGTGTCATGAAGTGATTTCATCTCCTTACGCATTGCTGCATCCCAATCAAGCTTCTTCGGGACTAATTGAGATTCAGTATAAGAGGACGGACTTCCATCCTCTGTGATCAAAGCTTCTCCTGAGTCATCAACAAGTAGATACTCGTACTTAATAGCATGTTCTGTAGGAAACCAAGTACCATACCTTTCGGGCGCACGTCGAACACGTGTTGATCTTGCCGTTGAAGACTCTAATTGATCATTATGTGCTGGTTTAGGTGATGGCTCACTAGCAATGTGTTGCTCTTCATGGACCTATTCAAGAACAAAATCTTGCTCTTCTGCTTCGTCCATCATTTATGGAGCACCTCCTTGTGGCCCATCATGAAAGATTTTATGATAAATCTCCTCCTCAATGATGTTTAGGAAAGATAAATGGCCTTCATTAGTAGCAAGATCAACAATCTTCCACTCTTTTGATGATCTGGACTCATTGAAAAGAACAACTCTTATAACAACAAGTTTATAGCCTACACGATCCCAAAGCCGATATACTTTGACATCACGCTGATAACCAAGAAAAATACACTTTGTAGCCTTGGGATTAAGCTTAGTCCTTGATTTCATAGGAATATATGCATAAACATCACATCTAAACACTCTAAGATAAGAGTAATTAGCATTTTGTTTATGCCACATTTCAAACTGAGTCTTGTAACTTATTGCACTAGAATGAGACAAGTTTACTGAATAAGCCGCAGTATTGATAGCTTGAGCACCAAAAATCTGTGGTAAACTAGCATGGCTTAACATACTCCGTGATCTATCCAACAACGTCCCATTGAGACTCTTTGACACGCCGTTTT